TCACCTGTGCTGCTTGGCAATGGACATAAATGGTTTAACGTATGTTGATGTGCAGTCCTGGACAGTCCAAGTCGATGGGGGTCAAATATGGCGAAACCATGCACATCCACCCTCAATGTGCTCAAGGAAACGGGTCGTTCGGCTTGCGAACGAAAGTTTGGACGAGCATTTGGTGGCACCGGGCTTGGTATTTGTGTGTGAGCAGTGCAATCTACAATCGACATGAACTTTCTCGCCATGAAAGCGCATACGTGAACATTCTTGAGGACACAGCTAGCCGGCCGAATGATGGTGAGAGAGTTGCCCCACGCCAGGATGCAGTTGCCGATTGTTCGCTCGTCGATACGCAAATTGTCAGTCACCATGGACCGGATAAAGATGCTACTAATAGCTTCTTGTTACTACTAGTAAGGCACCTGTTACTACTAGCGATGCACTTGTTCCTAGTAGCTTGTTGTTTCTAAGCATGGAATTGTTAGCTTTGGAATTGTTCAGGACGTGATGAGTCAATTGCGCGGCTTGGCTGAATTGGGCGGTCAGTGCATCTCAAAAATGTACAGTCCACCACTTGACAACTGGCCCCACATCCAACTCTTTATCATTCTTTATCCAATCAGTCCAATCACTACATATAGCATATTATAGCGCTTACTGTAATTAGTGATTTATGGAGAAGCGTCACAGTCATCCAGACCAATTCCGTTATTCTGTTCCGAGGTCAGCTTTGGGAAAATCCTCTCTTTTGTCGCTGCGCGATGGCGTTCTGACCTTACCAGCCTCAGCTAGATTCCCGATTTGGCTGTGGGCCGTCATAAGTGTAGCACTGATGGGCACTGATGGGCTGACAGTGTTTGACCTGGACAGGTACTCCAGTGCCAACTACGTCAACAGCCTCCTTGCCAGAAACAACGGAACCATTGCACCGTCGATTTTGTTTGTTGTACTGTTCAGACTCGTGCGTGTCACTTCTGCCGCAAGCCCAGGTGCCCTTCAATTCCTTTGGGTTCGAGTCTTTATGGAGATCTGGAATCTCAGCAAGGACTATTGTGTCCCAGCCCCGGAGTCTAGCAAAGAAGCAAGGCACCTTTCAACAAAGGTTTGGTTCTTTGATTTGTGCCATTGTTATCCTTATAGCCTTACAGTGCCGATCAGTACCGACATGTATCTAGTCTGGGCTGCACCGCCCGAGCTACAAGAGCTTTGTGGTTCTGGAATGACGCAAACATGTACAAGGTCTTGACCTGCCAACATGCCAACAGCCGGGAAAAGGATGACTCGTTCAAACTGAATGAAATACCTTTGCAAGCATCAACGCATAGGACGTTTCGCATTCCGGAGGTAATCGAAAGGGCGTTCTGAGAGTCTTCGTTAAGATCGTTAAGCATGGCCTTTGATGTGCCAAAGGATGTATCACTGTGAAGGAGCAGAAGAGGTCAGCGAGAACAGTTGTTGCGGGCGACAGATGTATCGTAAATTATGCACTGCCTCACGACTTGGTTCTGACTTACTTGTAGTTTGATGTCTTTATCGCGCGAGCGATCAGAGGCCATGTAACATATGTCGCGAAGTTCTACGAAAGTACTTCGCGGCGTAGGCAGTGAGCCCCGTACACAGGGAAAACAAGCACTCACTGGTCTTTGGGAATGAGCACTTTCGGTGAAACTCAGGAAATCTATCTTTGTTACATATCTCTCTCACAGCTGAGCGCTGGCTGTGCTCTACAGATGTTTATCAAGAACCCACATTATTGCAATACCTGCTTATCAAGAGCAGGTGTGCTCAGGACATACAGTATATCAGGAGTATCATCGTATCATCAGGTTGTGATGAAACATGCGTTGTCACCGCCGGGGCCCGAAAGCTGCGAAAGATTCTTGCTCCTAGTAGAGATGCCAGGAGCCCCTAGTAGCGTCCTTGCTCCGACAAACGAGATGTTTTTACTAAGAACGATAACGCATGATAACGCTGTGTGTCAGGCCAATATTCGTCGTGCATTTGCTCAACCTCTCTTTTTGGGGACGATGGGCTAAGGTCACAAGCTTTTTGATCATCTCTGCATCTAGCGGCGCGTTAGGCATTTTGGCCGCTAGCTGCCAAAAAGCACAGAGCTCGGGCCAAGCTTCAAAGACCTTTGAGCTTTTGGACTTTTCTGATGCCTAATGGAGAGCTTGAGACACCTCAGGTTGAACACGATGACTCTGGGAAGTTGTTAACACTGCGGCGTCTTGGCTGAGACAGCTGGGAGAGACATAACAGAGGCTTGATGTTGGGGCGCGCACACATTGGTCTGAGTCTAAGGTTTGTGCACAAGGCATTCTCTGGATCAGTCCTTGGAGCTTTCGTGGTGTTGCTGGGGGTTCTCCCTCAGCTCCATCAACAACTCCATCAACCAGAAGCCTCAAGCCACTAAGCAGCAAGAGGGCGATCCTTCCCTTTTGAATCCTTGAAGGGAGTTTCTACATTTTGAACCCCCTGTGGCTCGGAAGGCGATGTGAATGTCAACCAATATCAAGAATAAGAAAATAGCATGATCAAGCTGATTACCAGAAGGCAATCTCAAGAACAAATGAACATGGAGCCATAGAGTGCTGAATTGGCACAGCTGCTGCATTCTGTCTCAGAACTGCTTCACTTCCATTTTGCTTGCTTTTCTCTTGAGGGTGGACAATGGTCCAAGGCTTGGAGCTGAGAAGCTTGATCACAACATGGCTGGGGCTGGCCATGGTCATGGTGGGGGTTACCGCTGTGCCTGGATTGTTGCAGATCCTTTGCATTGAGTCAGTGACATGGAAGCAGTGAGATCCTAGGGTCCTAGTATTGGCATCAGAAAGGTTTTGAGTTCTGACGAGTTGCGGGCTCTGTCTTGCTTGAGGTAGAGGATGCAGAGCTGTCCCTTGCCTTAAAACTGGAAGCAGTCTTATTTTTCACTTTACAGCGGATGCAACTCGCATTAGCAAGCAACATCACAGCCTGTACGGTTCATGTAACACACGTGCACCCACCGACGTACTGTTTGGCTTTGCAAGACAAGCAGTTGGGAAGTTGAATGGGTTTGAGGCGCAGCTTTGCCACCGGCCTGGCTCAAGGAGCCAACAATTTCTTAGGGTTTGCGATGGGCTGCTTGGCAGACAGATACTGTAGTAGTAGGTACTTAGTACATTATGGATTTAGTAGATGCTTGACAGTTTGAGCGGCATCTTTCAGAAATGTTGACTTCGCTAGAGTACTATGGCCTTTGTCTTGCGAGTTGTGCTCAAACCTATGTCCTGGAGGATCAAAATCGCGTCAAAAGGATTCAAACGGTCTCCGTCAAAGGATGCCCAATATGATCCAATATGACTTGCTGCTGTTGGTGCTGGCCCTTTTTGCAAAGAACCTGAGGTCCAATGGTACCACAATTGGCAATGGCTTCCCGGCAGATACATTGCTTTTTTTGTTGCAAAGTAGCGAGCAGTGGCAGTTTCAGCAACACATTGGCGACATTTCGCAACACTTGCCACCTTTGGCATGCTTGAAGCCGCACCCTGAGCATCCTTAAACTGGACTGCATGAGCTTGAACGTAAGGATTTTTTACAGTGTCACCTTGGGTGGGGCCATGAGAAGGCCTTGGCCTCTGCCCTTTTCACCGCCTTGCTGGGGACATCCATGGGCGTGACTTGGGCTGTGTAATTGCCTGGGTGATTGGAATCCGTTGCGCGTGTTATTTTCTGATGGGGTTCGAACTGGTTCATGTCCAATTGTTTGATCGAAATTGGACAGGGGGCACAGCCTTGCAAGAGGTCCAGTGAGGTCCAGGCAGATCTTTGCTTTTTCGCCAGCACAGCCCGAGGCATTGAGCACTACACTCGCAGTGGCTGCCGTGGGTTGTTGCTCGCTGTCTGACAGTGACCTGGAGGGTGAGACGGAGCCTTGATGACTGAGGATTTTGAACTCAACGAGTACTGTAAGAACGTCAGTGGCAGCAGTAGTTGGCAAAGTGTACACAATATCATGATGCATCATGATTATATATCAATGTATACTGTATACTGTATACAGTGAATCTTGCGAGGCTTTCAATGCTACAGTTTTGTTTGTGTTGGCGGCGTGTCCATTTGGCAGATTTGCATTCGAGGACAGCACCAGCATGAATCATGTTTCCGGCAGCGAGTCGGAGTCCTACTCCACACAGAGCCGATAGCAGGACATTTATGTTGAAGATTGAGACTTAGAGAATGACTGGAGGTTTTTTCTCTGCTACTAGTAGTAACGATTAGCTAGTAGCGATGCACTTGTTACTAGTAGCTTCTTGTTACATTGGTTGCTGTGCAATTTGTGCATTTGTACATGTCTCGTTGAGCATGTGATTTCACCGTGATATTTTGCGATTATGAATCATGGAAGTCAGTGAAGTCTTTGTCTTCACATTTCTCAAGCAGCTACAGATCTGCTTCGAGAGATTTGTGGATGCAGTGTTGTGGCGGCATGCAGTGCATTGGTTTGACTCATTAAGCCTTTGCCTCTGTTTTTTGCAGATTCTATTCGCTTGCCCACGCTGCTTTTTTTTCCAACTTCTTTGGTTATTGTGTAGAACCGGAGGCATGTATGCTGCTGTAGTCATAGGCATTATTTCGCATGTTCCAAAGGAACATGCCACTTTTGTAATCTGTATCCGACAATTCTAAGCCCAAACCATGGGCTCAGAATCTTCCTAGGTCGTAATTAACCACCGATGTTCGAAGAATTTACGCGAGGAAGCTGAGGCTGAGGGTCTCAGCCTCTTGCTGCAATAGTTTCGTACTGTCTTGATTGATGGTACTTACTTGGCCAAGGGGTCGACCTCGTGGTGTTTGGTCTCAATTGACTGGCGCTTGTGAGCCCAAAATGTGCGTAGTTCGAAAATCATGAAGGCGCACTGGATTGCATTATGCTTTGTTGGAGAAGAGGGCAAGAGATGGAAGATATTCACTAAGAAACGGTATTGAATTGGTTTGGTTCGAGCTTCAAGCGCACTTGGGAGGCCTTTGCTGCGAAAATCGGCGCACAGGCTTGGAGTGCCCATCAGGCCGAATTCTGGCCTTGGGAGAAGAGGCCGGCTGGAGATGGCTGGAGGGCGAGGGCGGACTTTGGATACAATCAATCCGGGACATAAATTTTGCGAGGGAATGAGGTTGGAGGCAAAAGATAAATCGGGAATAATCGGGATCAATCACGACAGCTATGGCTATGGCTTGAACTTGCCAGTCCAGCGGCCAGCAGGACAGTATATAAGACTTAATAAGAGGATTCTAAGATACGATGAACATGCTGTGAGCATTTCAATGCAGCCAGGCAAAGCACAGGGCACGCTGAAGCTCTTTTGTCAATCTCAGAGGGCAGAGAGGCACCCAGAGCGGGAAGTGTGTTCTCCATTGCTCTCCATACGCAGATACCATATACCTACAGTATCCTCGAAGATCCTTAAAGCTGTTCTCGTAGAAGGCGGACCGCCATCCATTTGAAGGGATCGGAGCACTCAGTGCAGGAGCTTCGTCCAGGCTCTTGAAGGACTCATGTGACCAAGAAGAGAACAAAGACACAAAGGGTTGAAAAGTTCCGGATAGCTGACAGAGTCATATATATATATATATGACTTGAACGTTCATCAGGACTATCCAGAAGATCATCGCAGAGAGATCTTGGATTTGCTTTTCAAGCCTCAGCACCCTGAATGAAAGTGTTAATTTGTGGATGATGTCACCACGTTGGAAGCATTCCGAGCTGTGAGCTTTCACTGCATTTGGTCAGGTATGGTGCCTCTTTGCAGGTGTTGAAGGTTGAGATTGGAGGTGATACTCAGTTCGGCAGCTCAAAGCAAGCTCTTGGGCTTTTTGGGGCTTGTGGGCCTTGCTTGCGGGTGCAAGGTCGACGGACGGGAGCGAACCGTCCCACATGCGCTACAGAGGCTGAGAGAGAGAGAGAGAGAGACACAGACGGACGGACGGACAGACAGACAAAATGAAGGAACACCTGTCAGAGGATTGTTTCCCTGAACATCTGGAAACCAAATGTATAATGATGTTAATGCTCGTGAAGAACCCGTCGTCCTTTTTGCGTCAAGTAGGTGAGAGCGTTCATGCTTTTCCAGCTTACCTGAGCTACCCGCGACCTCTCTACCCGCCTTCGCGCCAGAAAAGAGCAACAACAATGAATGACATTTAGACATATGACATATGGTTGATTTGGGGGTGCGGTTTGGCCTGGGAAAATCTAAACGGGAAGTGGGTAGAAGATGGCAGAAGCAAGACGTACTGTAGTAACAGATAGATAGTTGTTCAGGTAGCTGATGCAATGCAGAAGGGCTTTGAAGAACGACTCAGCCGCTGCCAGGCGAAACTCCAGATTGTACAAGAGGCTATGAGGCCCAAAGTGGATCATTCTCAGACCGGGATCAGGATGCACTGCTGCAGACTTCATACAGACTGGTGGGACACTGTGATGCACCTCACTATCCTGTTTGTACGACTCGTAGTTGCAGTGCCAGGCTTGGTTGTTGCAAGAAGCAAAAGTGTCAGCCTCAAGACGCGAAACTAGGCTCTAGGTTGAGAGCTTTTCCTATTGCACGTAGTGCATGAATCAGGCCCGGAATCCTGCCATCCGAACGTATGCCTTGGCAGTGGTCTTATCAAGCGGGAAGCTGTCATTGAACATGAAGCCAGAAGAGGAAAGTACCGGACCTGACAAAATATCAGTTATTCAATGCAGCAAGGCGTGGGGAGTACCTGGCTGGATTGGGAATGGCACATTCTTCAGTGAGGAGTTGGGGTCACAAGGCAGCTACCGTACAGTACCATGCATTCTCTTTGTTGACACTTTGCAGGACAATATTTTCTACCACGTCTCATGGTTAACGTGCATCAAAGCTCCTCAGCTGACTGGAAAAGCACGCTAGTAAGCTCTAATGAGGCCAGAAGAAGCCCCGGCCAGCCCAAGGAGAGGTACAACATTGACATTGACTACATCGGACTTTGGAACGAGATGCCCTGGGGTCCTGCTCTCAGTGCAATTCGCGTGCTACCGATTGTAGTCACTTGGTGGCACATCACTGGTGGCAAGACTAAGTGGGATTGCATGAAGATGTGCGAAGCTCCAGGTGATGCCTGGTATGTGTTTGAACTTGGTGCTGCAATCAAGGCCGGTGATCCTGTACCACTATTACTTGTAACATTCAGTTGCCACTTTTGTGCAGGAAGCTCAGTTGGGAACGCAGCTTGTTCTCCTGGCACCGGGCTAAGACTGGTGTAAGTCCATGGCATTGAGATGTGCATGCGTTTGGGCACCCTGAAAAAAGAGGAGTGAACACATACGGAGGTTGAGGTGAACCAACGACCACTTCACTAGTGGTCAAAACCACCAGCCACAAGCCAAAGCTTTTACGTGTTCAAAATTAGCATTGTGCTAAGGATCAGGCATCTGGTGCAATTAGCACTGATTTTCTTGGTTTCTTTAGCCGCGATCAGCCAGAGTCTTGGCAGGTTCTGCTGCACAACCGGCATGAAGAAAACGTGTTGTGAGCCAGAAGGGCGGCCAGTGCGCGAGCACCAAGGCGGTTTCAAGAACTGGTTGCAGCAGTTGGGTTGCACTATCCCTGTGTCCTTCTCAGACCTGAAATCCAAGAACATCCAAGAACTCAGCCGAAGTCCTCCAAACTCCGCCGCCCATGTACACTGCACATTTGCGTACGCTTTGCACTGCGTATGCCGTACGGTTCTCGTTTGGGGGGGACATGAGGCACTCCCGACCAAAAGTTGCTGGACACTTTGGCAGCACATCCACGCACTCGCTTCTGGTCTTCTGAGGAAAGGCTTGGGAGAAACCGAAGGCAAAACCAGGCAACATATGGTAACATCGGCCTCTCGGCTGAGGAAAACCGTCTTATGACTTATAATATAATATATAACATATATATATGTAATATTTATATTTTTTTGGCGGACTTCAATGATCTCCAACTCCAACCAGATATAGTTGATTTAATTAACCCATTTTAAACGCCTTGAACATGTTTTGCGAGATTTGTGAATATTTTTGAGGTTGAGCAGGCCACGCATTCTGCCCAGTTCGTTGTTGATGCTACACGACATGCCATTCTGTGCTTGAGGAGCTGTCCACGGTAGCGGACTGGGGAGGTGCTGGCTGTTGGGGCCGCATGATCAATCAGAACTACGCAAGCGCCCAAGCACCATTGCCATGGCAACATTGATACCAAGCATAGACCTTTGTCGATCTCTATACTTAATGTGAGCGTTGTCAGGTGAGGATGAACGCAACATCGTCCATAGCATGGTCACTCGTTTGGCTTTGCCAGCTTTGATTGTTGGCTTTTGCAATTCTCAGCTTGAAATGAATGAATCGCGGTGGAGGGTCTTGCCAGGAGCGTCTACCCAAACCTGGAATGCTTTGGAAATGGCCTCCTCTATGCAAATGAACCCTGGTCTGGACATTACGAGGCCAGGACCCTTGGCTCACAAGAAGGGAAGTGTGAATGCATCGACTGTTACTTGGGGAAGCTTGACGTCCAATATGATGATATTGTATGATATCTAAGAAGTTCGAAAAACGGTTTCCATGCTATGCACTAACCAGGGGTTGGGAGCTGCTCGCAAGCATGTGTGCTTGAACCGGCTTGCTGCAAGCCAAGATGGGCAATGCACTGCGATTCAGACGGCTCGGACCGTTCTAGACACCCGACATGTTGCCATTGTCCTTTGCAGTGTTGTCGCAGTGCTTGCAGCAGCTTCCAGTCATACATGGATGGTGAGCATGTTTGCGGGCGTGAAGGGTTTGAGCTTGATCATGGCGCTCTCTACACTGGCCTCTGCGTTAGCAATGTTTTTCTTGTTCTCCCACGCCAAGCAGATACTGCAAATGGCACTGTGGCAGAAGCCGGCCTTGTAACTTGTAGGCTTGAGTCCGGTCATGGAACGCATGTCTTAGGAACTGTCAGTTGCATGACAGCGATGATATGCAACGGGTAGTGCCACGGGTCAGTGTACACACACAATCATACAGATCATACAGTGCTCACATGATCACTGTAGTCTCACCTCCCTTGTGTTTGGCATTTCGCGATTGACACTTTGCAAGCAGGAGTGAAAGTCGGCAGCTGCATGCTGCAAGCGAATCACGATATAGCCACTATAGCGTGCTATACTATACCCTATATAACTATGACTATATATACGGTAACTATGTGCAAAAGTCAAAGCTGTGGCGATCAAGCCCTGTTTGAAGGTGATGCCACCAATTTGGACTTCTGCTCACACGACTCAGTTCACAAAGCCTGGCCTGGACTCTCAGTCTAAGACCACTGTCAACTCGACTCAGCTCAATTAAACAAGCACAAGTCACGCAAGTGGACACTCAGGTTGGACCTACCTTCCAGTCGGAGAAGCTGCTGGGGACTTGCCGGAGCACATGCTTGACAAGTTGCAGTGTCAAAGCTTTGTGACATGTTCATCAAACTGTGCAAAGCTGCCAGAGCCAGGAGGGTGGCACCTATGTCACCATTACATCTCCAAATTTGGAAGATTTCTCGATTGTCATCGAAAGCCTGACAGGCTGCATCCCTCAGGAACTTGTTTTGTCACTTCGGCACTGGCTGCTGCATGTGTCAGGCCGTTGCATGTATCATGACGGTTGCCAGGGCCCTGACCACTAACCCACCTGCAGTTGTTTCAGTTGTTTCCTAACCATTCTCCAAGGCTTCCACACTCAGCAGCCAAAGAATACACAGCAGCTTCAGTTTCAGCTAAGCGGTCTGTAGCTCAAACACACTTTGAGCCTTTATGCCATGCCACTCCACTCGTTTACCTTTAGCGTGTGTGCCTAGAAAACCTTCGAGCTGCAGCGAGGGGCAAGGATTTGGAGGCCAAGCTGCATGGCTAACATCGGAGTCATTGGAGTTCGACCAGGTGTCAAGCACGATTCTTTGCTCACATGACATGTCCTCCTTTCCAAATTGTGTTCTTCCCACAGGAATGCCTCTAACATCCTTTCACTTGTCCAGTGTATTCTTCTCAGGTGTGGGCAACGAACGGCAGTCACTGGTGTGGCACTAAGTGACCCTCCCACACGTTTGAGTGACAGCGCTTGGAAGCAAGAAGCTACAAGTAGCAAGGTGCCTTACTACTAGTAGCTTGTTACTACTAGTCATTTACCTTGTTACTACTAGTCATACTAGTCATGCACCTTGCTACTGGTAAGAAGCTACATGTTCCAGCGACCTTCCAATGTCTCAAGGTTCCAGCGCTTGGAAGCTGTGCGGATGGATGCAGAAGGAAGGCTGAGGCGGTCGAAGCACTCTGACACCGCTTCTTCAATTGGCCTGGAAACCATTCGAATCATTGCAAACAACGTGTGGCTTCCTTGGCATGGGCATTTGATCTTATCCCGGCCACGGCCAGGATATCCCTTGAAGCGGATGCGATAGTGACAATCACCACTCTCCATGGAGCTTCTCCCTCAGATGCGGGCCCTAGACTTGCTCACTGATGATCCAAACATCATTTGGATTGCAGGCCACCAAGATGGGCCAAAGAGAATCTCACCAAGTCAAGGACTACCAGCGGTTGCAGGAGTTGATTTCCTTATGGCTTGGGAAAGTGTTCAGGAAAATCAGATTCCAGTATCAAAGCCCTTCCCACTTCCATTCGAAGAGGCTGAGACATGCACGGTGTTGAATTTGAAGAGATTGAAATGGAAGTCAGTTTCATGTTCAACAGTAGTGGTCTCGTGATGTTTATGTTAATATGTGGTTTTGCATTGCCGTTTCGATTTTGGATCATTGCATCACCACAGGCCTTTGAGACCGAATTGCACCGATCTCCTGCTTTCTTCTCTGACCAGGGTGGCACTTTCGAAGTAGTTGAGGCTGACATGTTTTGCATTTTTGCCAATCCGAAGCTGGAGCATATGCATGTGTATGCATTTGCCCAAAAGGATGGGGACGGAATTGCCAACGTCAGGCCCATTCTTCATCAGTTGCCAATTCCATTTGGATTTGATGATTTGACGGACACGTGTGTGTGTGTGTGTGTGTGAAACTAGCTGGAGGCTGAATCAAGTGCTGCAACAGCAGGCGACACCCATTTTGTGTTTCCATTCCGAAAGATTTGACACCCATAATAGCTTCTTGTTACTACTAGTAAGGCACCTGTTACTACTAGCGTGGCACTTGTTCCTAGTAGCGTGGCACTTGTTACTACTGAAAAGATCTGCTCAGGTGCTGCAGGCTCCCATCGGCTGGGCCGGCAGTGCGCCAGAGCCACTCACACTCTTCGGAGGCGCCCAGTGGGCGGTGGTGGGCCAACCGTGCAGGAATTTGGGAGGCAAAGAGGTTCAACTGCCTGGTGACAGCTGGGTGCGTTGTTTGAGTGTGTTGGGGTGCGTTTGGACGTGGAAGGCACCAATTGGACAGATTTGGATGTGGAGGTGTCAGCGCGCACGGGCCTTTTTGGCCGCAGGGAGTGGAACAGTAGCGATTCGAAGATCACTGAGGCTTTGAAGCGGTCACTTCCGGAAAATTTGCTCCTTTGAGTCCTTTTGGCCTGGCACTTATGCAAATTGAAATTTGCTGCAACAGACCATTCATACACCGCATCTTGCATACATCCTAGTTTCGAATCTGTAACTGATCAGTTGTTCATGCAAAGAGAATCGAAGCATGTTTGATTGAGATTTGATTCGTCGAGAGAACTGTTTGAGGTCACTCCGCACCTCTCAGCTTGTTGCAAGTAGAGTCTCAGAGCTCTCAACCACAGGCTAGCTTTCTCAAGGCTCCTTGTTCCCTACAGGGTTGCCCTACAGTCAGTGCAGGATCGACACATTGGCCTTTGTGCAAGGGCAGCGGGCTTAGTCTTGCAGAAACGCTTCGGCTTCAATATAAGTCACAATGCTAACTCATAGCCAAGGTGCTGCGCTACACCTTCTTCAACAGCGGGGGAAAGCCAGCTTCCAACCTTCCACAACATCACAAGGAAGCAAGTTCCAGTTGTATCCAAGTTTGTTCTGTTCGAGGCCTCAAGGATATTGCCTTCAGGCCGTTCTGCGTTTTGAGCAAGCCAGGGACCCCGTCGGCGGCTATGTATGAAGCGCCGCTTATTTTGTTGCCGGTGCCAGGTGGTCGACTCATTGAAGGGTGGCCTTACTTGGACACTCTCGGCTTCCTCAGAGACACTTGCAGCCGGCCTTCTGAGTGAATGGCTCAGAAGGAAACGGTTTGCAAGTAGAATGAGTGTGCGTTTGGTCCATTGCAGGCCAAGAAGCAGCGAAGAAGGCTGCAGAGAAGGGATGGCTTCGACTGCGGTTGGAGGCAGTGAATGGAGCTTCATTGAAGAGACATGCCCAAAGCACTGAGTTCTAATGCAGATGATTGAGCTATGTGCAAGGTCTACAAAGCACGCATTTCTGCATTTGTTTGCGCCTGAGCCATGCCAATGTTGATCAATGTTGCCTTTCGATTCATTACCGACGTGCGCTTGTCACTTGGATGGCTCTTGACCTTGGCATGGTATTGCATATTGAGTGCTGAAATGTGCGAGTCCTGGCCTTGGCATATTAGATCACAATATTAGGTAAAACTAATAATTAGATAATATAGTATAAGTATATAATACTATTCATGCAAGCGCCTTTGCAACGAGAAGTGCCTCATGAGATGATGCTCACAATGCCTGCAGATCCCTTTAGCATCAACACTCGAAATGTTCCACATACCGGTAACATACCTATATATACTGTAGAATCCTTTACGCACCTGCTTTTGGCAACCGGCCTCAAGGCTTCCACAATTTCTGTGACACAAGACATGCTCTTCTCTAAACTTTATCTCGGTTGGCCCGAAAGGGGCTCAAACTTGGAATGACTCTTTCCTCCACTGGACTTGATCCCCGATTGACCCACAAAAGGTATGCTATGTTTTTATGACTTTTTGGTCCGTGCTACGTCCTCCAACATTTTGCCTCGTGGCCCACAAAAAGTATGTTCCCCCAGTTGGCACAAAAGAAATGGCATTTGTTCTGTCGTCATGGCATGCACGGTCCATGGAAAATTCGGAAGCCTTGGAAAATTGGAAGCGTGGTGTGCGTGTACAAGCGAGTCATTGTGGGAGTGTACAGGACAGGGGAGGCGTTTTCCGCGTGTACAAGCGAGCACCACGCCTGTTGGGTTGGTTCCACGAATGCCCGTCACTGGAAGCTACGTTGACATATTACATGGGAGGACAATGAATTGCATGTTAGGTATTTGTATGTATTTGTATAAAATTTGGTGAATGATTTTTACAACAGCAGTGAAGGACCAGGGCACCAAAGGCCCAAGGGACCAGCGGACCAAAGGGACCAAAGGGACAGAAGGAGCAGGAGACCAAAGGACCTGATTTGCAATAATCTTTTTTGATTGGGTCGTCATGTCCTTTTAATCGGGTAATCAACTTTTTTTGGTTGGATGGTTGTCATTTTGTATTTTGTATCCCTATGCCCTTAGGGGTCGCTTCGGGCAACGCTCTTGTAACTTTTGGTCGCAGTGGTTGATGAAGAAAAAAACAAAAAAAACAGTTTCACCGCCTGGTGTTTGTATCAACTGCCCCCTTGCCTTTTACCTCACAGGGACCTGCAAATGAAACATATTTCGCCGCCTGGCTCACGCGTGGGGATCGGTCCCCACGCTTTTGCAGGCTGGGTCCGTACATGTAGTATAGCCAATCTTCATAGCCAATCTCGTGGCCACCAGATTTGCCAAAACTATGTCCTCACCTTTATCCTCAGGGCGTGGGACAGGTCAGATCTAAAAGCTGACATTGGACAAGGCGCATTCTGTTAAATCTGAGGGGCGCTGCCCAAAAGTTTCCAGTACTGTACCAAAAATAGAAAGTCCGCAGTTTCCATCATCGCTTCAACTTGTTGGGCGACATCACCATCTCTGTTGGAGTCGCCATGTTGGTGGCCACAATGAAGTGCAAACAAGTTTTGGGCCAGCACCAGCGCTCGTTGTCGCGGTTGTCTAAAGCAACAAAATCTAGAAGTGTTTTCAAAATGAATACGTATGACAACTGCCTTCAAGTCAGATCGAATCAAACGAGCAAATTTTAAAGATGAGTGTGTCCATCGACCCAGAGGAGTTCAACGTAGCAGCCTAGTATTAAAACAAAACGTTACCGTTACGACATTGGCGAAGCGGGGTAGGAGCTTGCCGATGTGAGCTCAGCCTTTTTTGAGTAAGAGCCTGATACATGTCAGCAACGTGATAAGTAGTTATCAGCCGTGAGCCAAGCCCCTGTTGCAAGGCAGGACCCCGATTAGCAGGAGCAAGCCTTGTACTACTACTACTACCACCTACTACTACTACTACGATGACAACGACGAGGACGACGACGGCGACGACGACTACTACTACTACTACTGCTACTACTACTACTACTTGGACGACGACGACTACGACGACGACTACTACTGCTAATCTGACTTGTCTACTACTTCTGCTACTACTTCTCAGAAAGATTGTTCTTTATTTGTGCATTAGATGCGTGTGTATTTTCTTGTGATTTGTCAATTTCCTTTTTGATGGCTCACCCACAAATGTATATTCAATAGTGCTGGTGTGGCAAACCTTCTACCACTGGTGAAACAAAATTGCCTGAAAAATGCAACTTACATTTTCTTTAGTGGGTGGTCTGGAAAAAAAATCTGTAGTCTGTAGTTTACATTTCCATTTCCGCACGTCCAGAATGTTTAGTTAGGGATGTAAGAACAGCACTTTCTTCCGCTTGCATCACCAGCATGCCTGATTGTACTCGATGCCGTTTTTTTAGGGCATTTGACTAGAGCCATTCACTATGCTTGGTTGACTCTTGCGGTCACAGCTTGAAGCCTTTGCGAGAAACCATAATCAATCTATTCCTCGAAGCGTTACTATTGTTTTCTTAAGTAGCGATCCGCTACTTCCTCTCGGTGTTGGCGGATTTTCGTCGCCTGGCAAGGTTGAGGGCGCTCAACTTGCGAGCATTCTTGACACCAGCCTACCAATGGGACAGGCAAGCAGTCCAAATCCGGTTGTGTAGCACTGATGGCTTGCTTGTTTATGTCAGACCAACACTCAATCCCATTTGCAATGTTCATTCTGACATCGTGATGACCGCAAAGTGCTGACCGCTCAAGTCCAAGTCTTCATCTCGCAGCTGAGGGGAAGATTTTGCGCACCTGGAGTAGTTATGGTGGCATGTTCCATTTTGCTCCATTGCTCGGAGGTGGCAGACTCTCCTTTGCGAGCCCAGGATTTGAACAAGGATGAGCAAGGATCCTTTGACTTGGGACGATACTTGGCAGCTTTACTATAATTTGATTGTTGGAGTCCTTTTGTCATTCACCGCAATCCTGTGAAAGGTCCCTGAATTTGTATTACCTCATTGCTTGCACTGAAACCAGTGAGGCCCTACTGCCAATGAAATGAAAATGCCTTTGTCGAATGGGAAACTTGAGGGAGTCCCTTGTGCAGAACACTTTGCCCCTTGGCTGGTGTTATTTTTCTGCTGCTTGCTCTCTACACTGTGCGAGTTTTTGACGGAAAAAGTGTACTGAGTCTCATCCATCAAAGCAGGTTTCTTTCCAAGAATGCTCGCCCCTTTGCCAGTCAGACACGTCAGCAGGACTCCTCAGCCTGTGTCAGTCCCACTGCGTCATCGCCGCCATCGCCGTGTTCCCATGAGCCTGCACAATAGCCGCCAGCGATTGGAATGCGCACGCTCATTTTTCAGGATACGCCACGATCCCGAGTGAGACAAGGAGAGACAAACTTTAAAGTGCAGGTTGTTTGTTTCGTTTTGGTTGGTTTGCTTGTTTGTCCTCAGTGCACTGGCGCCTGTCAAGTCTTGTGGATATGTCACCTAATGAGGGCCCAACAAGAAAAAATGGATTCGGATACCGATGGAAAGTCCATTGGGGGTCCGGAGAGAAATCCAACAAACGGACATCGGCTGACAGGATTTCATGCCACGGATCATGCAGCTTGCACGGATTGCCAGCATCACTTGCAAAGTTCGCAAATGTGGTCGTCGCAGTGGCAAACTGAACAAGGAGCCTTTTTTGGCACATGGGTCAGACATGATGGGAAAGAAAAGCTGAGAAAAGAATAGATGTGTAGGAGAAAGGGAGCGAAAGCAACAAGATCCCAATTAAGCAAAGAGTTGCTCGAAAACCATTTTCACATTTTGGACTCCTTCGCTTGGAGGGTCAACCTTGTTTCATTTTGTTCGCCTGAGGATGTTACCCTTCACCTTTCGATGAGCTGTGTGCCTCTGTGGAAGAGTTGAAGACCACGGTGGAGAAGCTTTGGGAGCACATGCAGGTGCTCATAAAGTCGGGTGTTTTTTTTCTTTCCTTGGCCTCGATTCATAGGAAGATTCAATCTTGCCCTGGTTTAGTTTGTTACATTTTAGGCCTCAAATTCACCATGCACATGTTTACAGTGCTGATCTTAAGCATAAGAACGCAAATTTGATCAAATGTGTCTAGTGATTCTCCTGAACGGAAGTGAGGCTCCGCGTGCTTGCATACTGCATTCTTTCCAATAAAACGGAATGGTTTCGACATAAGCAGTCTGCGGCCCCTCTGTCGTTTTTAATGCCAATTGGGTCAACCAAGATCAATCTTCGATCTTACGAGCTTGCTTGTTTTTTGTTGTTTGCCCTTGAGGTCATCAAACACGACTTCGTCGAGTATTATCGCGGCAAGGGTATCACGGTCTAACTTGTTCTGGAAAGCTTTACATTTGCAAACATTTATATACAAACGTGCACAGAGTCCGTATGCCACCAGTGCCATCGGGCTACTACGACAATAATTTGTTTGGAGCATTGCTAAGAAAGAAGCAATGCTCAGACTGGAGTTGAAGAAGACAGGAATTTGTAATTAGTCATTGGACTGAAGAATCATCTAAAGTCAGTGAGAGCCTCAACAATAATGCCGTTGAGGGCTGTTTCACGTTGCTTGAGCCTTGCGGCAGCCCTGAAGCCTGGTATTTGTGCCAAGTCTTTTCTCGCAGTAGCGAAGGACGCTATTAGGTGGAGCCGCCATCGCTACTAGTAAAGCTACTTTTTTTCATAAGCAGAACCCGCCTGCCACGGACCAGTCTTCGGCTCCGGTCCAAAGACGACTGCGGTCTTTGCAAGGCATGGAGAAGAGAACGGGTATGCTCAACAAGTTACAAAAAGATACAAAAAGGATCAGAAAGAGGTTGCCCCCCCAAACCTCCACTTGGTGGAGGAATGCAACAGCTCTGGTGCTGTTGGTGGTTTTAATTGAGCCCAACCCAGCTAGACTGGGACTTTCAGCTCTCCGTTTGAGCCTTCTTTTCTCCTCTCGCACAGCCAAAGGAGGCAGTATATGGGATACTGAGATGAGCTCAACAGCTTGATGGCGTTGGTTGAGAGACCTCGTATCCTCATAGCTGCCATTGTCAACAGTAGACTGGTTTGAGGAAATTAAGTGACAATGCACGCAGTGTTTGGCTCTCCAAAATTGAAAAGCTGAATCACCAATTCAAAGCATGTCAAACAGGCAGTAGGCACCTGTGATTTCAGTGGACTTCGGTTACGTACTGGCTGCAATAGACAGGCAGTGCCAGCCCACACACGGAAAACAAAGGGATTGAAATATATGATATAGACTGCTCGATGTTGCCGCTTGGGCCCCCCCAAAAAAGAGTGTTTGGATATATGTTCGATGTTTTTGAGGGTATTGTTGCGCCAACTCATTGCAGGTTGCTTTCAGCTGCGGCTACCACAAGTGTCAGTTCGACAACTTGAAGGCACGCATCATTTTTCATGGGATCACTTGACTTATAACAGAAAAGGAATTCTAAGAAAGGAGGTTAATAAGTGAAAAGAACAGAAAGGGAATTCAAAGAAAGGAGTTTAATAAGGAAATGTCATGAATATTTATTTAGATTCTTAGAGGAGGGGCAACAAACATGTTTAGCTTTATTTAGGGTGCACTTTATTTAGGGTATGGTGGCTTCATGAGGGGTAGCCTTTCCAGAGTCGTTTTGATCAAATTTCAATAGCTTTTAAATAATAAGGGTTTTATAACAATTTTTTCTACGCAGGACTTGCGTTTAGCGACACTGTCGGAAGCACAGTGGCGCCAGTACTCGGCAAAAGCCGCTGTACAAACCCTGAAATCTATGCAACCATGTCAGAAATGCAATATACTAAAAAGACTATGAACACAAGAAAACATTGAGACAAAATGGAGGCAAACAAAATCCAACTCCTATAGTACCCCCAGTTTGTCTCAAACATTGTTTTTTGTTTTTGTTGTTTTTGTTTTTAGCTTGTTGTTTTTGGTTTTGTAGTATCCCCTCAACTGTTATAGGCCTGGTCCTCACAAAATTGATCTAAGAAATAGCTCAAGACCTAGGTTTTGGTGATGTTTTAGCCAAAAATCACTGAAACCACAATGAATCCCCTCTAAACTGTGATAGGCCTGGTCCTCACAAAATAAATCTAAAAATAGCTGAAAACCTACTGTAGGTTTGGGTGATGTTTTAGCCAACAAACACTGTAAAACATAGTCTTTTTGCACTTTTTGGCATGAAACACATCTCTCAGGAGCACCTGTTCTGTTTGGTTTTGGGATGGCAGGGAGCATTGAGTTGCACAAGAGGTGGAGGAGAAAGAGAATTGGGCTGAATTTCAAAGGATTTGGTAGTGCAGTTCTTTGACTCATGAGTTTCTTGGAGCTTGAGAAGGAACATTGAATTGGCAATGGGACCATGGGATGATGGATTTGTGAAATTAAAGGAGGTTAAGAATTGGAAGAGAGGCAACTATTGCTACTAATATGTGTTTTACATGTATGTGGCTTGAGCAATTGCGAGTAGCTACATGGGGGCGCATCGCTTAAGGGTGTTGAAGCGACCTTATGCTGCACTACTGTATGTGATGATACACTCCCCTTTCGAGTACGCAGTTTTGGTCTGAGAGGTGTTGCCAAAAGCAGCGCCTGTCACATCCTTCATTCTGACATCTCGTGACTTGGAGCAAGGATAATGGTGCTTATGTGCATTCAAGATGGCAGAAAAAACAAACCCAGAACCAGAAACAGAGGAACACAACTCTCAGAAACAGACACCTTGGTCCATTTGAATGAACCCGATGGAAACACAACACATGCGCCTTAAATCCATTTGGAAATTGGCCCGGCCCATTTCAGGGCCGCTCCTCAAGCTTTACAGCCCAGTCTCTTTGCTCAGTTCTGTGTGATTTTGCGTGTTCCCATTGGCGATAGGACTAGCTAGGAAGGAACCGAGAGTGTGCTGATCAGATGCTCAAGGTTTGCAGACAAAGGTGGAAACGTGTGTGAACTCGTTTTAGGTTATGTCATGATTTATTCTAAGGTGACCTTCCATTATGATTCACGCCGTGGCCTCATATCACCACATTGGACTCATTGGACTATTGCATTGTCGCAGTGCTTATCGCATTGTGTGTCTTTGACCAAGGGACTTGTGATCCATCTCCGTCAGAGACGTTGAAACGCAATGACTTCACTGGCTTCATCGGTCTTGCCTTCGCGACCCTGCATGAATTGAATGGCAGAGGCAATTTGATGATAGAGAGAACATCTTTGGGGGTTACTATAGTTACTATACTAAATTAAATAATTACTCTATAGCATATTGTACACAACTAGGATCAATCAACACACGTATTGCACAAGGCGACTCTCCGGATGTTTCACGATTGAACTATGGGTGACGCTTTCCTGCTTCGTGAAGTTGAAGACGTGTGTGAGAAATTGTCATGATGTGCGATGCCTGGGTGTTGTTTGTTGCTTTTGCGTTGCAACTCGCCGGGGGGCCTATGATGGGCACAGGTGCAAGATCGTGCAATGCGGCGAACCTCATTTGAGGGCCGTCCGTTATTGCCAGTGAAGGAATTTCGATCAACTGTTAAAACAAACATGTCGCGAAAGGGAAACTGCAGTCCGCGAAAGGCCGGCGATAGGACAGCGAAAGACATGTGCCAACCTAGACTTACATACAATGTGCATAATAGATGACACATCCTTTTTCCCGAACAGAAACACGGATTTTCGCGAAAGGGCTGCGAAAGGCCGGCGGTAGGCCCGCGAAAGAGCGCATTGCCTGGAAGGGCATTTGCCCATCCATGGCCTTGAAATAAGCCTTGAAACCTTTGTTTCAAGTATGAATTGACAAAGGGTAATTAGCCTGCTTCTCAGCGCACTAAAAGGGATTTAGATGATTTTAGATGTCCCAAACACTGTGAACTCAGTGCAATGGAACAAGCTCATCACAATGCGCGAAAGGAAAACCTGTGGTTTTTCTGCAAACGCGAAAGGGTCGCGAAAGGCCGGCGATACAAGCTCAAAAAGAAGAGCTTTGTTGGACAACCCCCATTTGAGCAGTGTTCAAAGCCTCTATAAAAGATCATGTGGAACTGCAAGACTGTCACGTAAGCCAAAGTCTGCACGGCGCAAGGGTTGCGTAAGGTTTGGTGGAAGTCAAGGTTAGGACACTCGACGCGTAAGAGGTGTGCGAGCAATTTTGAGTCGAGCCTAGTTACACTGCCAATTTATTGTATAGTTTGTTGCTGAGAAAAACTGCTAGCAGAAAAGGGTTGGGGTCTTCAGTTTTTTTGTTTTTGGCCACATGAGGCCTGACCACCGGTAACAATTCCGACACGTAAGAAACACGAAAGCCCTAAGAGAAAAAGCATCACCGCAAAAGCGAAAAAATTGGTAGCGTAAACATTGCGGAAGCCGACGCGTAAGCAAAGAATTTTTATAATGCCAGAACCAAAAGGGTTTGACCACAAAGGGTTTGACCACCGCTCATTTAAATTACATGCTATTGTTACATATTGACACCGCAGTCGTATTAACAATTATGTCATATTGATATGATTAATATGCAGCTTAGCGAAAACAAGCATTGTTGCATTCATCCTGCTCACCAGTAACACACCGCATTTACTCAAGCATACTTCCCATTAGCCAGTGGCACCAAACCACACACATGTGTACTTTCCTCGCCAAACTGCGTAGCACAGCGGCATCACATTCCCGATTCCCGCGTAGCGCTACGGACAATGCATTCAGAGTTCTCGGATTCCATGGGGCATGGAACTGTTCGACAATCGGTAGTCCTTTGCCAAGCTCCCACCTCCCTGACAATGCATTGCCTCCTCAATTGCATCTCCATCTCAGGCTCAGGGCTATGCGAACACTTCCGAACACTTGCGTGCAGCCCTGGCAAGGGCTGCTCCCATGCACAGGTCTAGCACCCACCCTGATGTTGCCCCCTGACTGCGCCTGAGATCTCTCACATGCCAACTGCCTTTTTCGTTACTCGGAACTTCCCTTTTGTTAACCCCCCCCGCGTGCAAAGCTCGTTGGGGCAACTTGCATGGACATGTCTCTACAGTACTACAGGCAAGCGGTCAGTTTCGGAGGTACCAAAGATCGAAATCAAAGTAGCTGCATTGGGACGGATGGTGCTCAAAGGTGGCCGACATCTTAGAACACGACAGATCAGCGATTTGCCAGCCGAGCTTCGGCCTACTTGACAAGTCTAAGGCCCTTTATTGACAGAAGTCCACAACGTCCAGCTATTGGAGGTTGCTTGGGGCCGAGCCTGCAATTTACACGCTTCGATCCACATGTTGATTCGCGTGCAGGCTTCGTGTGCACATGATTCAGGGCTAGTAGTTAATACACTGGATTTGTTGTCCCAACTAGTGCTGCACGAGCAGGACAACGTTACGGGTCTGCGGTACGTGGCCTCTGCAGCAGTGCCCACGACACATACCCAGCAGGCAATTTCATGCGTTGAAACTTTGCAACGTTGAGATGTTTGGAGCGACAGGTTGGCATCATATCCACAGATGATGGCTTCCAATATGCCGAGCTGCGAGAGGAACTGTTGCTGACACCAGGTCATACTTATGCCTTGTGCTGAGACATATGATGGTACATCATGGTACATCAAAGCGCATGACCCTTTGTGATCTGTGTCGTTGAGTTGAACAATGGCAGTGCCAGTGGAAACCAAGATCTTGGCTTCGTCTGAAATTAGCGGTGGAGACTTCTTCTTTGACAAGGCCAAGCTGTCGTTGTACACACCCCTTTTTGCAGTTTGCGACTTGGCATCAGCGGTTAAGGCAGTGCTAGCAGAACCTACCGACGGAGTTGATATACTTGGACCTGCGCAGCGAGCTCAGGATCCGGCAGACAGCGAATCAGACAATACTATTGCATGCTAGTTTCAAAGCTGTGCAATTGAGGTACGCCAATGAAAGTGGGTGGCACTTTGATCCGGAGCCCAACCTCTTGTTTGGGCCATTGACACTCGGACTGGACCCTGCAGTGTTGCTGTACATTCAACTAGTCAGTAGATTCTGGGAAAGCCTTTGCATGTCGCATGTCGCTCATGTATTTTTTTTTGTTGGTGATGAATGTGAGCAAGTTGCCGTGCATACTGTAAACCAATGGAAAGCCAAAAAGTTGTCGCAAGCAGGGTATCAGGCACACAGCTATCTCCTTAATGATTTTGTTGAGAGGGCCTTGCAGGTGCACCAGTGTGGGAGTCCCAGGTGCAAGGACAAGGTTGCGCAGGTGCGAAGACTAACAAAGAAGGACATACCAATGACATTTGATAACTTTCTTGCTTTGTTGGCCCCACGCAGCCTGTGCCACTAGCACAGGAATGCTTCTACCAGCTGTAGATTTGTGGAGCTCTCTAGACTGGTTTTCTTGGACTTGCACTTGATCTCAGGAATGCATTGCTGCTACCAGTGCAGGCAAGAAGGATTGGCATGCAACTTTGGTCTTGTCTTGCGAGCTGTCATTTTGGTCGACTGGACCTTCTGCTGAAGTTCAGAGGAGGGCACGGCCCCTGACAGAAGTGCAAAGCGAGAAAGGACATGACAGCCTACACTGCATCAGCATTCCGTCATTTTTTTGACGCCATGTTTGGTACTGCTACTGTAAACATCCACTGACTTGCAGAGGGAGGGATTGGTTTCATTCAATGATAGACATGTAGAAAAAGAATGCAAAAGCCGTGGGCCGTGAGTACATTATGATGAGGTGAAAGATGAAAGCAGACTCACAGTGTCACAGGCTTTGGCTTGTTTGTTGAATGCTGCGGAAGCGATGCCGCCGATATGCAATGCGTGATGCGAAAGCCGATGCTCCAGCTGCTTCAGCTTCAGGTGGTTGGCGGTACTCAAACAGCAGGGTGATTATGGAAGTGCTGCACACCAACATGATGCATCATAGAACAAAACTTTGATTTGAAAAGCCTTGACATGCCCGCCAGTTACCCCACAAGAATTTACTTAGAGCACAGCGTGAATTTTGGTGCTCATGGTTTTCCAAAGAACGAATGACCCTGTGCTTTGAAAGACAACTTGTGTTGACAAGCTTGACACTTGTAGTTTTTACACATTTTTGGATTAGACGATGCCAGCTTGCACCAGGAAAATCTGGAGCAGCGGAGAGCTCTTCACAAAGGACCGGAGACACGACCACTTCCATGGCGAGTTCTGAAGTGGAACCTAATAGCGATGGCCTCCTAGCAATCATCCAGATGTTGAATATACAACAATATATATATATATACAGGTGATAATTCCCTGCAGGCCAAATGGCTCATGGCCACCCCCGCCCAGCCTTTTTGAGACTTGCCAGCAAGCCTTTTCGTGCCACATGCTCTTTTGCCTGCCGAGAATTCGGTGACCATCTTGCCGCAAGCGCATCACTGAATTTGATTAATCATGTGCTGCTCTACACGAGGTCCCCTTCAGGAGACATGTCAGTCTGAAGACACAGTAATCACAGTATATATATATATATATATTACTAGCATGTGTTAGCTCCAGACTATGGACTTGGAAATGTGTATATATGTATGTACATTGTGTGTGTGATACAGTGTGAATATTATACATGACTCGAAGCTATCAGAATGGATACCCTGTTGACTGACATGAACTGCTTGCTTTGTACGGCTTCGTTTTCATAGAGTCGATAAGGCAAGCATACCAAAGCCACGGTGGCCTTTGATTATTGCCTTTGCTTCTGCTTGGGTGCTCTTGATGCTTTGGAGCTTCCAAGATTCAAAGAGTTTCCAAGCCTTGCAGATCTTCCCTGCCAGCATTTTCAAGACTGGCAGCGACCCTTGCAGTGGCCAAGAAGTTGATGAAGCTTTGGGCACTCCAAAGCCAGCGGATGGCGAAGTGGTTCTTGTCACTGGTGGCTCTGGTTTCATTGGCAGCCATCTAGTGGAACAGCTCCTTGAACTGGGCTATCATGTTCGCGTCTATGACAACTTGGAGACTGGCAACCTGCTTTTCTTAAACCTACGCCATCCTCACCTGCAGTTTATTTATGGTGACATTATGGATGTGGAGTCTTTGAGGAGAGGTCACAACCAGGGGTCATGCCAGTATCACCGTTCACAGCTGATCACATTTCTTGTTTGAGCTCTGGGGAATGAACGCTAGGGTCGCTAAAGTATACTGTACGCAAAAGCTGTCCAAAGCCTGCGTACGCCAATTCTTTACAGATTTCTTTGTGGATGCGTAGGAATGCAATGGTTGGTGTGCGCGGTGTTTTCCACCTTGGCGCTGCCAGCAAAGTCCTTCCTTCACTCAAGCCCCTTGGCAAATTTGTCCAAGACTTTTGGCATTTGTACTTGAAATGTTCGAATGTGTTGCCCCAGCCAAGGAACCCACACATGGGCACCTTCAATGTGGAAAGAAACTCAGTTGGCACCAGCCGTGTTCTTGAGGCAAAATCATCACCATCACTTTTGTCGGCCTGGTTAGGACCAGTAGCGGTACTCAAGTGTTGCTACTGGATATGATTTTTTGACCCAGTCTTGGGACAATGATTTCAAACCTTGTCATTTGTTTGGTTCAGGTTTGCATGATGACCTTGGCGGGTATTCTTGAGAATATTGGACAAGCACAGATTTCAGTATGGCCAAGTATACTACACTATTGGATGGAATGGGTACTTTCCTCCAAACTGGGGCGATGTCAGAATGAGATAAGCCCCGTGTGTTTCAATCGGATTCGTGTCTTTGCTGCCCTGGCAGGTAGCAAATGAGACCATGATGGTCCGCAAGGTGATGTATGCGGCATCCTCGACTTATTATGGGAATCAACCAGTCCCTTTCGCAGAGACAGATCCTTTCATGCCGACATCACCATATGCGGCGTCGAAGTACATGGGTGAGCTCATAATGCTTACCAATGACAATTTGTACAGACTTCCCACTTTGTCACTGCGCTTCTTCATGGTTTACGGACCTCGAAACCCAGCGCAGGGTGCTTACGCCATTGTCACGGGAAAGTTTATAGATCGCCTCAAGCATGGTCAGCCGCTGATCATCGAGGGCAATGGGCAAAACTTCCGAGATTTTATCCATGTCGATGATGTGGCCAGAGCGCTCATTTTGGGCTACCAGAGCGCTGTCCATGGCACCTCCATCAACATTGGCTCCGGGGAAAAGCATTCGGTGAAGGAAGTGGCCGATCTCATCTCCTCCAATCAGTTACATGTCGAGGCTCGCCAGAATGACCTGCTAGGCACTTTGGCGGACACCTGTCGTGCAAGGGCCATGCTGAACTTCCGGGCTAGACACGACTTCATTGGCACTATGAAGGTGGGACGGTCAAGACACGACGGTCAAAAGGCATTTCAAGTTTCTATGTTCAGCTGCCCTTGGTCCATGGTGAGGTGATGATTGCTGATGCCATCGATGGAAAATCAGACTATTTTGCAGACATGTGGGCAGAGCCTTCAGTGCAGGCCCTTCATTGTGCAGCAATCGCTTCAATGATTGACAAAGTATGACAAATCATTTATATATGGACAAATCATTTATATATGGAGAGTCACGTGGCATCAGAATTGATAGGAGGGGCGTTCATCATCCTGAGATCAACTGTAACCAGACTTGGGATGGGAATGCAGGGTGACAGTCTTTGTGTGTGTGTTTTAGCTGTGCAGTGTGCGCAGGACAGGCTGGAGATGCTTTTGCCAGGGTGGAAAGGATTGACCGGACAGGAGCGACTCTTGACGAGAATTGCTGCCTTGCTTCCGAACTCGCATTTGTTCAACAGGGAATCATGCAGCTGGCCTTTCCTGGGCAAAAAGGGGACTTTGGGGGTTATTTTGACGAAAAGGTGGGGGGGTATACGGGAGAATCGGGTGGATCTGGTGAAATGATGTGAAATGTGGAAAGCTGCCGAAAAGGATTTGGAAAGCCAAAGTCAGACTTGATGAGATGTGTGCGGCCATGCCGAATCCAAGGAAATGTCAGGCTAAAATCAGCCTTGACCTTCAACCAGTCCATCCAAGCGGATTTGCTCAACTTATGAGTTGTCACAACGTGTCACCGGTATGTGCCTAAACTGGGCTACTCGGTGAGATGAGCCGATCCGAGACTTGCACGCAAATTGCGAGCTAAAAGGTTGATCTCTTGTGAGGAGGGCAGTGGCTGAAGTCTTGAAGGATTTTCCTGCCTCCTACAGGTCAAAACAAACTGTGATATGACGTGATAAAACGATATTGTCCAATTTCTGGCGCAGGCTCCCTCGAGAGAGACCTTGCTAAAACCAGAGGCTCGGAAACAGATGCTGGACTGAATTTCGAATTGTTTTCTTCTTCCTCTCTCTCTCTCTCTCGTTTTACTTATGCGTTTGGCCGTGTTTGTCACGAAAGCTAGCATGCTAGCTGAGTTCTTCTTTGCTTTAGCAATGTTGTGGTGGGAGGGGCTGCGTGCCTTAAAGATTGATATATCAAGCTAACCCCCCCCCCGCGGTTCAACTCCCAGCTGCGCCGTGTAGGGGGTTGGTTGAACGTGGTTGGTTGGGTGTAAACGGTGGCTTGGTGTAAAGGGTGCTGCTGCTGCTGCCGCTCTGCTGCTTGCTGCTGCTGTTTGCTGCTGCCGCTGGTTGCCGCTTTTGTAGCTGCTGCTTTGCTACTTGTTGCGGCTGACGACGCCGCTGCTACTGCTGCTTGCTGCTTGCTGCTTGCTGCTGCTGCTTGCTGCTTGCTGCCGGTGGTGCTGCTGCTGCTGCGGCTTGATGCTGCGCTGCTGCTGCGTGGTGCTGCTGGCTGGCTGCTGGTTGGTGGTTGCTGCTGGCTGCTGGCTGCAGGCGGCTGCTGCTGCTGCTGCTGCTGCTGCTGGCTGCTGCTTGCTGCATAGGACTTGTACTTCACCGTTACAAGTTGTTTACCCCTATTTCTAACCTAATGCATGCATAAGCGGGTGGTAAATTTACCCCCCAGGCTTGCTATAACCATACACCGGCTATTTCCTCAAGACACTCTATTCTTGATACCTTTTACCAGTGCTTATCCTACACTACGGACGCCCTAGTGTATGCACAATCCTTGTGATGCTTACCCCTCGTTCCGTCTCAAGGCATACATAAGCGGGGGGGTAAATTTACCCCCCAGATTTGCAATAACCATAAGCCGGCTATTTCCTCAAAACACTCTACTCCTTATACCTTTTACCAGTGCTTATCCTACACTACGGACGCCCTAGTGTATGCACAGTCCTTGTGATGCCAGAAATGCCTACCCCTCTTTCTAGCATAAGGCATACATAAGTGGGGGGTAAATTTACCCCCCAGATTTGCAATAACCATACACCGGCTATTTCCTCAAGACACTCTATTCCATATACCTTTTACCCGTGCTTCTCCTACACTACGGACGCCCTAGTGTATGTACAGTCCGTATGATGTCAGAAATGCTTACCCCTCTTTCCGACTCAAGACATACAAAAGCGGAGGGTAAATTTACCCCCCAGATTTGCCGATCACGCATCTTCGTGCCTGCCAACGAGTGCACCCGGGTTGTTCCAATGTACCCTTCCCAGTCAGCGATGTCACATTTACATTCTTTAGCGCAAAGTATGTACATAGCAACCCTCCTCCCAAAACATGTAATCCCTACATGCTTTGCCGACTATGTAACTAGTACATCCGGTGCGATTCGGCTAGCTTTCGACCTCTTTCACCTGGCCTCAAGTAGTTGCTAGATTCTGCTAGATTCTGCTAGATGCTGCTATGTAGATTCAATGCTGCAGAGAGCAGTGCCCTCATTTCCTCGGCCCTATGTACGCTGTACATATTTCTACACAATCTACGCGGTATGTATGCGGATATGAGAGCAGTCACAGTATGTCACAGTCAAGACAGCAGTTCTTATATTGCCTTGTTCCATTTTTTTGTCCGCTCGTCTTTGAAAAACCGTTGAGGCTGCTGAGGAGAACCACCAAGCTGAGCCGAAATCTCAACAGCCCGTTGACTGAGTGGTGAGCAGACTTCAGTAGGGTTGGACAGGGCTTTTCAACATGTTCTTTGCGAGGCCAACCACCCTGGAACCAAAGCCGGACACTCCGAAGGTGCAGAAAAGATCAGAAAGGAATCTTCTTGAAGAGACCCCGAGAGACCAGAGCCTCTGAGATCTGAGCTTTGTGGTAGAGGTCCAGGTAGACGGTGGTGTCTACCTTGCCGTGGGACGTCAAGCAATCTTAGGGTTTGGGATCTTGTTGAGCTGTGATCAAGTTTAGCCGAGAAGGCAGCGCGCATGTTACGGGAGCCTCGGTCAAGCAGACTTCATGAGGCAGTATCGGGCGCAAAACTTTGGTATGATTCCAGATTCCACATGATTCCACACTTTCCACGTGACAGGCTGAGACACCTGAGTGGTTGGTCCAAGTGGTCAAGGACTGCTGCTAGCTGGCTTTCAAACAGAGCTCATCAGCCAAGCGCCTGACAGATTCCTGACTTACAGGAAGAGACACTAAATGAGGAGGAGATCAGCTGAGAAGAAGAAGCCTTGGCAGGATGCAAAAAGAGATGGCCGGCTGTTTCTAGAATGATTATGAATGATGACCATGCTTGTGAACCGCAAGTCTTTGTGGAAGGGACACTTCCGCATTTGATGCAACAGTGATTCTTGCATGCTGGATGTTGCGTTTGATGCTGGCATCAGTGTTTAGCTCCATGCCGCGGTTCTGTGGCATACAGGACAATAAACAAACAGTGAGAATCACCGCCAGCCCCTTAGGCCAAATCAACATCGTATAGGATGAGTGTGGCTGGGTCGCTGTTCATTTCTTTGGAGCTAACTTGTCACGGCCCCTTGTGCTTGTGGTTTTGACGTGCCAGAGTCTCGGTCAGCTCGGTTGATTTGTGTGTGAATGTCATATGGCTGAGCCACCAGGTATCATCCCAAAATGGCAGATGAAATCTCGGCCTGTTATCGCACGCTTGTGAAAGGGAAACCGAGAAATCGCCACATGCAGCAGAAACCGCACGGCGCCAGGAGATCGATGCAATAGCAAAAGCCAAGGAGTTTGCCTGTGCGGCCAGCACGCCGGAAGAGGCCCAAGAACTTGACATCGAAAACTTGGACCTTAGATGTCCATGAAGCCAACGCTTGGCATCGAAGGTGCTGCAGCAGCTGAAAATGTGGGAGGGCTGGGGTGCGGCTTCCCAGCCAATCAGATTTTGGCTTTTGTGCAGTCTTGTTCTGGGCCTCAGGTAGGTACCACAGCTCAATCGCACTGGGCCCGGATCAGGACGCTGACCAAGCTTGCAAGTCGGAAAGATCGAAGTGAGACTCCAAGATACATAAAGATAAAGCAATGGCCTCCAACCTACTAGCGATGGCCTCCAACCTAATTAATTATAGCGATGGCCTCCAACCTTGGCTGGCATGGCCAACCAAAAAGCCTGACCTGCAGCCTGCAGATATTGTCGCAGGAAATACTTCTACCTGTGCGGGAGGAGCCTGACCCAGACACGGTTCGGCAGCCTAGGCTGATCGGACGCAGTGCAATCCTCCTAAGTGAGCATTTGAGGTTGGCTTCGCATATCCGCTACCTCCTTTGGAGCCACCCTGTCTGATTTGATGCGCTTGCATGTGATGTTGCATATAGACACATATAGACTCTAGACACATGTAATTGGGTGCCACGTTTGCAGGTTTAACCTGCGGAACAGCAGGAAGTACCCACCTCCAACAGAGGAGGCGGGTAGTTCGAAAGTTTTGCCAGTGCCATTGCCATTCCAGTAGTTTGGCAAGTTACTCGATTTGGGCCATATTATGGCCTTCCCATGAATGGGGGAGTGTTTCAAGCGAGCGGTTTCCTATCACCAGGCATTCTTGCGGCATGAAAAAGTCGAGTTTAAATGAGTTTAATATTGTATTATATCTCCCTTCGGCATTCAATACCATTGCTTTCAACACATTCAGGCAGCGTTCCGGGAGATGTTCAAGCTCCTCCACTATGTTGACCGCTTAGAAATTGCATGAAATTGCGGAAGGGAGACTTTTTCATACAGATTGAGGTCTGCCGAGAGAAGCTATTTACCCGAAACTATGTCCTGAGTGCGGTGACCTTACTCTAGTTGTTTGTCACCATTCTGGTCTTCAGGAGGGGTTCCCACCATTTCTTGTTCAGTTTCCATGTTTTCTATTATATATATATAAGGTAATCTACGACTGGGTCAATAGCAATCGGCGAGATAGCCCAATTTGGCAACGTGGGTTCCTCACTGTCCCTACCTTAGCTGTGATGATTCTCACAAAATCTCACTAATATTTGTGGTCTTCAGAAATGATGAACTGTTGCCAACATTTGCATGTGCCTTTTTGAGTGTTGGAGGCTGGGGGTGCACAGAAGCTAATTGAATTCTGGCACGAAGAGGGGGCGGATCAGGCCCTTGCACCTTCGACCTCCGTCGATGTCATATCGATGCGCATCGTGGTTCAGGAGCTGGATGATGAGTACTCGGTTCGATACTGGGCTCCGAGCTGGGATGCAAGTGAAACAGTGTCTCAGTATGTGTTGCCTTCACAGTCTTCTTATGTCTTCTTGTTTGTTTTCTTGAGGTTCTAGCACTCATCGGGCGGATGATGGGCACATTGCAAGAGTGCCTCAGCTGGCAGGATGTGGAGAAAATTGAAGGAAGAGATTCCTAATTGCAGATTGAATTAGTGCATGAAAGTCAGAAGTGGCTTCACAATAATGCTGCCAGTGAGCGGAGTTTGTAAGCAGGGTCATCAATAGAGAACAACTCACCGCTGCAAGCATTTGCTTGCAACATGCTGGCAACCTGATTTGCTCATATGATCCAACTACCTACGTATTTCCAAGTTTCAGCAACCGCCAAGTATTGTTCAACCTGTCAGGTCACGCACTCATTTGATCAAAGAGGGCTTAGTGAGCCTGATTCTTGAGGCGAGAAGTGCCTTGCTACAGTGATCCTGTACTGAACCTGATGTTCATGGTTTCAATACCTCGCGGAACACAGGGCACCAAGTCTGACCAGAGTGAGATTCGAGAATGTGCAGTGTTTGCGGCCCAGCGACATCTTTCAATTGGGGTTGTTTCTCAATTCTCGTAAACTTTGCCGGTCAGTTTGGCTCTGACCGAGTAACATGGAGTTGGAAACCCGGTCGTTTACAGAGATATATAAATAGCCATCCCATGCCATCCCAGAAACCATTGTCCACTTCCATGTTAGTGAGTCAGAGTGCATCATGCAACATCCAGATAATCAGAGTGTATGAGAGTGAACATGTTGAGACGAAGATGATAGAGTTGGCAGTTTGGCTCCAATCTCTCAGCCGTCAAGGTGTGCCCTGAAGGGCTTGATCCAACACCCCGAGGCTTTTCTTTTCATTTTCCATTGTTTGATAATACAGTGCGATATCGCAGAGACCTGTGCAGCAAGGCGACTTCATTTTGGCAACAATGGAATCTGAGTGAAACCATGTTGAATCAATTTGCATTGAAAGTGGCACGAGGGGCGCGAAGTGGTGACGTACAAGACCCTGATCGAATGTCTAGGTCGCTGAGCAGGCCATGTTTCTTTTTGTCAAGATATTGTGTATTGCAATGCGCCGTTCATCATGTATCATTTTTCAAGGACCGAAGAGCGTTCTGAGAGCTCACCTTCGCCGTCTTCCCCTGTGCCAGCAGTGAATCTGAGGTTGCTCAATGAGCAAGAGAAGATGACATCAGATCCTTTGATATGATTATCCCCGATTTTTTGCACCACAGCTGGCATGGGCGACATACAACCCATCGAAACATAAATGTAACGTACGCCAGGCTTTTGCAGCTTGGTCTGACAAAAGGGCCGTCTCGTTTTTTGCTGGAGCCACTGAGTCACTGGCACCCGCATCACATGGGGTGCTGCTGTTGGTTCGGGTTTGAAAGAGCTTGGAGAATTCCTGTGTTTGAAATTCCTACATCGCAGGTCGAGGTCGAGGGAGGGGAAGTTCAATGATGATGTGATGCATTTAGGCCCAAGAAGGCCTGTGCACCGGTCATTTCTAGCTTGCTGAACAACAGCATGGGCACAGGAGTACTGGCCTCAAGCACAGGTCAGCTGCGGGGATGGCTTGACATGACATTTGCAAAGCATGCCCAGTTGGGAGCGTTCTGCACCGTAGTCGTAGCTTTGATTTTGAATGCATATATACATATATACATACTGCAGTTTTGAAGCAAAGTGATCCGTGGCTCACATAATCTACGACATACCAAGATGGAACATCTTATTGGAAGGGGAACCAGTTGCAGGCTACCCGGGCACAGCTGGAAAGTGCAGCTGGTGCCCGCCAACGAATGAGCCTCAATTGGTTCAAATGACATCCGGTCCCATTGGCTCAATTGGCCGGGCGCCCAATTTGCAAGATGCCATTTTAAAGAGTATATGTTGAGGCAGCATAGATGAGAACGCACTTGAGGCACCTTGTCGTCTCGGCAAGGCCTTGTCGGGGCAATCTCACAGGACTGCTTCCTCACAAAAGGGCATGTACAGACTAGGAAGTGGCTGCTGTTTTGCTGTGACTTTTTGCCGGGAGGATATTCGAACCGTTCTAGTTCTTGAGCTCCTTGGAGGCTCGTGTTTCCTTTGCGCTTGATGATGTGACATGTAATGTTGTATGACATTTTGCCATCAGAAGGACTCCAAAGGCAGGAGTGGAGTGCTGGCGCAAACTGAAACAGTAGTACCAGTAGGGAAGGAGACGAAAGCCAGAAGGAAAGGCCCCCCTTCAATAGAAGGAAACCCTAACTAAAGGGGCCCTTACCTTCTGTGTTCATCTTCAGTCCCTTGCTAGCTGCCACTTACCCAAACTCCAACCTTTAGACTTGACATTGTGGCCATGCATGTGGCCGCAGACAGGTCCGCAGCCAGTGGCATGTCTCGCATGCACGTGCCGCGAGCTGCTACAACAGCTGCGAGATCCAAGGCAGACAGGGTGTCATCTCGACATGCCACCCGATGGGGCATGCTACTAAATCCCTGCTGCCGCATTTTAATTAGGAACCTGTTGTTTTCAGAGAATGTTCAAACTCATTCATTCTGGCAGGACTGGCCGTCTTCGAGTGTCAACTGCTAGCCTGAGTTGCTTGGCCTGTTTCGAGTTCGTGTAATGGCCTCTACTTACGCAATTGCATGTCAAAAATGTTTAAGCAGCAAAACTTTGCCGCAAGGAACCCGCCCTGATCCACCCTGGCAGATAGGTCTGCAAGTTTTTTGAAATAAGGTGCCTCGTCATCTGCCCTGCTGGCACTGGCACAACGGCTTAGCCTTGACCAATTGCGCAGCCTTCGCTTGGACATCCTCAATGAAAGCGGAAAGCTCCCCGAGAGGCCTGAAGAGTCCTGAAGAGTCTCATTTAGGAGAAACGCTCAGCTAAACAAAAAAAATAGCTATCAATAACAGGATCACTGTTGGAGAAGTCATGCCACGTGCAAGCCTTATGGCACCGAAAAGTGCCGATGTTGAAGGTTGGTGAACCAACTTTTGAGCAGCTTGGGCGATGCACTGGCAGCTGCCAAGAAAGCTTTGCCACTTCCGCTGGAGGTTTTTATCAGTTTGAGCCAGAGCAAAGCAGGTTTGCGGGACCAAGCACTGCACCGTGAATGATGCAGGACCTGTCTGTGGTGCTGGCATCTTTCTCAAATAGTGTTACACCATTGAGGCTTTTCCGGGTGTGAGAGTCGCTTGCTTTATTTGCTTTGCACGAGCATTTCCAGAAGAATTTACACGAATAGCGGCCCCACTTTGATGGCCTGGAGCCAATCCTTTTTGTCACAAAACATTGGGGATTGCTCAAGACTCAAGGCCATAGAACTGACGGCTTGAAGTTTGGACAAATCCCCCCAAAAAATCCAATAATAAGTATCAAAAAAAACTTGCATTACATTGGAGAATCACGCCGGGTGAAGGCGTCAGAATTGCCAAATATATCCCAACATCACTTACAAATCAAGACTCGTTGTCACACGTTCGCCACACAGCAAGAAAAGACATCCGTTCATCAAGCTGATAACGATGTTTTTTTTCTCCTCCTCTGATGAACACCACTTTGCAATACAGCTGCTACTGTGCCTTCCTCAATTTTCCTCAGCATGTGTGCTTTGACAAAGGTAATTTATTCTTGTGAGGCCGAGTAGTGCAGCTTTGGCAGCGCTTTTGCGAGGGCTTGCTTCTTTAAGATTGCGACGGCTGGAGCTCAGTGCCATGGCTTTTTGGACAAGTTGCACCATTCATAATTAATATGAAGCAATGAAGCATATCAGAGAGAGAAAGGGACCGGCAAAATCGCTGTCAATGAGCAGTGAGCTAAATTAGCTCCTTGTTTCTACTAGCAAACATTGTTACTACTAGTAAGGCACCTGTTACTACTAGCGTGGCGCTTGTTAGTGCTTCAAACTCTTCTTTCAGAATTGTTCATAGCACAGTTTGGAGATTTGGGTATCGGTAGGAGAGGCTTGTGCTGGGTGAATCCATCGCGTGCATGTGCTGCAGCAAGGTTATCTTCCCCTGACTCGCAAAGCAATCCACCAAGAGGCTTTCCTTAAACAGTTGATGATTGATCGCAATCAGCGACTCTTCTTAGCTTTACTCCTGGCACTTCTGAAAACAGAAACGGAAAGATACAGGCTAATGGATGTGATTGAATAGAAGTGGCGCAGGTGGAGAGCGGGACACAGCAGACCCTTCTATCAGTGCTAACCAGCCTGAACTGCCTCAAAGAGCTTACCCTGACACACAATGGCATGTATGGAGAAGTGGCAAAAGAGCTGGTTGAGGCCGAACCTTCCCATGACGGGTAATCCCACTGAGCTTCACCATCTCAGATGGATTTGTTGTTGATGTTATGATGTTATCAACGTTGAGGCCATGTTTTCTTGTGCTTTCTTGGGTCAAGCCACTTTGCGATCCAACCTGCTGACACAGGCTGTCCGGGATCTACCGCATCTGCAAGTACTTGACCTTTCACGAAACCGGATTGCGAACAAGGCCCGATGTTGCGCCTTTTGCCGCTTATTGTGGCATGGTTCGGGGTAATAACCTTGTTTGAGGAGTTCAAAGAGATTGCAGAGACTCTTGGCAGCTACCTGTTTGCATCAGATTGTGCAATCAAAGGGAACGGGAGCCACTTAGGGGCCCAGTCAGACACGGCGGCTGTAAGCGAGGGAAAGGTCCTAAAGTAGCAAAATTCCTTGACAGGTAAGTTCCGTCCAGATGAGCGGTGTATGGACTTCCTCACTTTATCGCGAGCAAGGCCCTTTGTCAGGCTTCTCCAGACCAAGCTCTCCTGGCACATACATTCCGTCAAGTTATGCCCAAATCATATCAAATCATGAGAATTGATAAGTTGTAAATTACTGCAGGTGTTTTTCACTTGTGGTTTCCAACTGAAGTTTCTAGATTCTAGTCACGTGGGTTTGTCTCGTTGTTGTGCAGCTCTCGTGACATGGAATGGCTGAAAGTTGCCGCATGTTGTTATTTTTCTGCCAATGGCCTTCTGGCCAAAGAGCCTTTCTTGTTGACAACCGTATGACAAATTCGGCACAGCATGGTGCAGAAAGAATGCTCCACCGTCATTGTTGCCTGTCTTCGCATGGTCTCCATGTTGCCTGGACGACTGAATGCATCACTGCTACTGCAGCAATAAACCATCACGCCATGGAAGACTCAGGTGCAGTGGTGCTGACAGGCTTCGACTCGCAGACGCATCTTTAGTCTTAATTCTTAACGTCTTGGAAGCCCTGGATGAACAGTCCTTTCATTGGCGTTCTCAATCGAAGTGCTTCCAGGCCGTTAAGGGCACCAAGTGTCCTAAAATACTGCAGGTGGGAACTTCCTCCTTCTTCCTTTCAGACTCTTGGGTAGCACTTGTCCTAAACGTTTGGGCCCAGGAAGTCTCACTTGCCTAGTTTTTTAGTTGGCTGCATCGCATCAAGCACCACATGCTTGAGAGCACCCAGCAGCAAGCTCCCGCGACAGCACCAAAGACTTACGGTTGCGATTTGAAGCGACCACCAGGCACTATTCATTTGCGGTCGAATCAGTGTTTCGTCAGAATTCATGGTGGCCTGTCACGTTTGACTTGTGCCATTTTGTGCCAATGATTGCTTGGTGGCCAGCCATTGAGCTCCTCATGAGCGGAGCCTTGTTTTTTTATAGATGTAAATGCTCAAATGTGTCCAACAGTTCCCATTAGCTATCAGTGTCACATGCACTCCCTTCCAAAGATCAATTGTCTCAATCGACACTTATGGACGATGGATATGATGTGGCCGTTTCTTATCAAGTTGTCTTCCCTTATGATTTGGGAGCGCAGATGCAAATTCGCCCTTTGCAGGCGGAAGTGGGTGGCACATGTCGCCCCAGCATTTCGGGTGTCCCATACAACGAACATACTCAGGCTCACAAGGCCTAGGCAGCCTCAAGTTGTTTTTGGTAACAGACCTTTGTCACATAGCTTAAAGCTGCTGCAAAGCTGGAGCGAGGCCTGTCTTTGGATCCGCCTCACTAGGCAAACAGCAGAAGAGGAAAATCCGGGGCATGGCATCATGGCGTCTCTTCCGAACCTTTTTCCTGCTTCAAGACATGCTAGGATCCATGTTCCATGTGCCGATATGATCGACATGCTACACAGAGAATGCGGCATTGCTACCACAGGGCACAGAACAAGAACAGAAAGCAATGATGAAGCTAGGTCAGCGGACACTTGATGATATTTGTATGCATGTGTTGGTACATAATTGCCTGTCATGGCTCAAGGTCGCAAGCCAAGTGCCATTTAGTTGCCAGTGAAGGGCTGGGACTTATTCTGCTTTTGTCGTTCTTCACTGGTTTGTTCAACTGGATTAATCGGGAATCTCAAACTGTGCTCCTTCTTCTAAAGGTGACCACAGAATGAGACGCAATATTGTCGCACTTTTACTTGCAGCTGGCCACTCGGCAATCATCCAAGACTGATGAATGACACTGGCAAAAGACCCTGCAGTTGTGAAAACAGGGCATGATGGTATTGTTTGAAAGCCGAGGATTGGCGGATGGAAGCCAGCTGCAAACAGCATTTCAAAGCTGCTCGATTTTAGGGGGGCGACAAGCAGCGAGCAGTACCGTAAGTCAAGGTCAATCTTGGTGTGGTTGCTGAGGCTTGGTTGATGGTTTATCTCAAAAGTATGGCTACGCTATGCAAATTGCTTGGAGGTCTGACATAGAGGCTGGAGTGGACATGGTAACTGGTGATGTTTCCTCGCATTTTGCGCAAGTCGTGAAGGACTTCACAGTAGCAGCAGGTCATCATGCCATCACTGGCAAAGCCTAAGTCTCAGGGCTGTGAACAAGGGGTTTGTTTGAATTTTGTCGCACTGAATTGTTTGACGTCCCACGCAAGCAGCCTGCGCATGCAGTTGTGGGATCTGTTTCAAGCATGCACTGACTTCCACAGGTGGGTGTGCACACAGAGCCACCGACGCCATGATTAGAAGGAATATTGTATTGTTGCACACAGAATTGAACATGCACCTATCCATCCAAATGCTTTGTGCAACGCCGGTTGACTGACTGAAGGCAGCTCCATAGTGGAGGGAGGAACAATAATAATAATACTTGACCTCCTTAGTTCGGATCAACCTGTTCAATTGAGTCACTAGGATCCTATGATGAGCATGGGCCCCTGAGCGTGGCAAGACCCAGGAAGGGTAAAGAATATGCTTGAACCTTTAGCAGAACGGTCGAATGGTTCCACATAGAGGTCTCACAGTAGGTCTCACTTGCACGCACTAGACGACCATGGATTGAATCAGCTGAAGACATACTTTCTGACAAACTTGACCAGCAGAACTTGCAGGGTTGACCTTGAGAATGCCCAATGATCCTGACAATCCCAAGGCAGGTTTTGATGATGATTTTCTTGGCCTGGATGTCCAAGGCCGTTACCGCGGAAGACACCTTTGCATTTGGCTCGGGCACAAAGCCCTACACTGTGGCTTGGGCAGTCAGTGCGATGATCCAGGCGTTTTATGGTATATACAGATGTATGTATATATATATATATGTGTTATGATATATTTGCATTCGGGTTCTGCGTGGAATTAGATCAAAGCAGGGTGCCAAGGTTTGTCGCCATGATGTGGTTTTGTTGGACTGTGTTCGCATCCAGCACTGACGCAGCATTGACGTCGCTTGTGCACACCAGAACATCAGCACCACTGTCGCACTGATATCGATGATCGCTGATGGTGGAATCCAAGGCAGTCCTTCTCCTGAAATTGGCATCTGAAGGAAAGATTGAGTCGCCCTGCAAGTTTGACATTGATGAGCACTGCATTTAGTTTGTCGGTTTGTTTTGACCCGATTGTTCTTTGCATTCATACCACTTCATCGAAGCACTGCAGCTCATGCAAGGCTAGATAGGCCAGCCTCAGAATATGTGGATGGCATCCTTAAGCGCATGAGGCTTGGCCCCAAAAAGGCCAATTTTTTTCCACACGGAAGGCTCAGATAGGCTTAGGCTGTGACTTCCTACATGTTCATACATGCTCATTTGGCGACAGCCGGTGGCCCCACAAGGAATGGCACCTCTATGGTGGGGCTTTTTGGAGCAGATGCGGCGAAGGTCACTGTTGGCCACCTCTTGCGCCCCTCGAAGTTTAGATCTCCGTGGTTGTTTATCTAAAGGTAATTCTGCAACCTCTCGGAGTCGAATGTGGTAGTTTTATGGTTGTGTGTCAAATGTATATAATTTTGTATTTGGGAATGTGTTTTGATTTAAGGAAGGTGAAGGATCATTCGCAACATGTTCTTTCACTAGTTAAGTTGGAATTTAGAACGTGTTCCTGCAAAGGTTGTGGGAAGCTGGGGCAGTTAAGGCTGACGAGATTTTCTTTGACTTGGCTCCAATTTCTATTGATTGGTTGATTAATATATGTGTGTGTAATTATACAACAAAATAATGTACAACTATACAATGTTCTTTTGAACCCAATGGCCACGAAATAGATCTTCACGAGACCCTACCTTGGTAATGCATTGCGATAATGAGACAAGGATGTAATGCTAGGGAGGGAGGATGAAGGAAAGAGCACATGAAGTAAAGACAAACACTACAAGCAAACACTCGCTACTAGGAGCAAAGGGCATCGCTACTAGGAGCAAGAACGCCAGGGGCTCCTGGCTGTACTACTAGGAGCACGAAGCTACTAGGAGCTTTTCGCGCGCGCGCTCCTTCCTTCGTCAAAAGTCCGGGGTTTCGTTGAGGCATGCAGAGCGGCTTGGCGGACTTCGACGTCTCTGGCTTCGATGATGCATTGCTGAAGCAGGGTGGTTCTGTCCACAGCCCGCTGGAGTTTTTGTGGCCTGACATGAAAAGTGTTGGGTGTCAAGGTCACAATCAGGGTAGTTAGGGGATGATCGCGGGTCGGTTTTGTAGAATGTGTCTTGAATCGCCAACTTTTGTCTGTTGAGTATTCAAGACGTTTATCGGTTGATTTGGTGTTTGTTTTGGAATCTACTAAATGGCCGAGGCATGCAGCGGCCAAGCAAAGCCCAGTGTTTTTGTGCAATCCGGGGCAGTGCACGAGCTACACCAGCCATTTGACGGAAACTGTGCTGACGTATGCTGAGCCTCAAAGGTTTGATCATGTCCGATCGGTGGTTCCTGGTGAGTGGTTCCTGCGTCCAACGATTGCAGGCACCAACTATGTGCTTGCTGGTTTTGTGGCGTTGGGTGCAGTTGCTCCAACATCCGATTGGACAAGCCTTGACCAGGCTCAGATCTTTCCTCAGCCAGCAGCCTGCTCGCACTCGAGCCACAAAACAACTGCGAGGCATTCTCCATACGACACGCATGATTGTGACCAGGAGGAGCAAGTTCGAAGTTGCTGGAAACCAAGGCAAGTGCAAAGTATCAGAAGTGCACCTTTGCGGACACCGGCAGCTTGAACAAAACTTTGGACATCCCAGGCTCGTTTTGAACCCACTTTTTGAAATTTTGCACCCACTTATCAGATATCGATATCATTTGATATCATATACCACTGTTTTGATTACCTCCTTTTGGCAAACGGATAACGTCCCTTTTTGTTTTGAACATCGTTTACTCCCTCCCTGCTAGGCGCCGCCGGGAGTTTTCTTCGAAGGACACAAATCTACGGCCAAGATGCCTCCATTTTGGGTTGGACCTGTGGCAACCTCATTGCGCCCGCGGGATCTGCTGCTGTGCCTTGGTGAAGACTTCCCACCTTAGTCTAAAGATTTGTTGATATCCTTTCAGTGTTTTAAAGTATTCTTTAAGTAGTGTCCTAATTACTGTGATACTACTGTATATATGCAGTTCAAGGGTCGCTGTGCACAGGAGCTAATGCTTCAGAAGCGTTCTTGTTCAACTTTGACATAGATTGCACTGATATGTTGACCTTCTCATGGGACCACTGCAGGGTATAGAGTATAGAGTTATACAGTTATACACAGCTTTGAGTGCCTTTAAAAATTGTACTTGAGGATTTTTGTGAAGTGCCGACATCAGGAGTTTTTCTACGATCTATTGATTGCCAAGCGAATCGTCCCATCGGAAATGGTTGCGAAGATGCAGGTCAGTGCCCCGTGAATGGCCAGACACGTTGTAATCGAAACTTGTCACAGTTCTTACAACTGTCATGGTTTGATCCAGAATGATCCAGACCATGAAATCGAAAGACACCTCAATTTCTTCTTGCAGAACTCTTCAAGACGGGAAATTGCAGGAGTTCGCTCCGTTGAACGTTGGCTGGGCAAAGGGTATGATCCAATATGGAACTGGTTTGATGATCCAGACGCTCGACGTGAAGAAGCCTACGGAGCCTGTGATCATTTTAGCCACTCTTCACCGCTATATCTTAAATTCGCTCCAGCACACCACAGCAAGCTAAGATGGACGAACATGAAGTGGCAAAGACTTTGGTCGATGACACCAGCAAGTCGTCGGGTCCACATGAATGTGGGGCATTGATCTGCAGTGATCCGTGTGATACGCCCCCCTCCCCCTAGAAAACAGAACTGCAAGTACCACCAAAACCATTGCAGCGAGCCGGGTGTTAAAAGACAAGACATTCCGAAGGTCAGCATCTCAGAACTCAGCCAAAAGCCCAAAGAGTGGATCCCAAAAGGAACCACTGGCTATGTCATAGAAATTGGAGAGCAATATGAAAAAGAGCGAAGCAGTTGTTTGGTTTTTAGGTTGTTATTCCATCCCCAACAGTTTTGCGCCAATGTTGGATATCATTAGCTTTGAACCCGTGTGTGTGTGTGTGTGTGTGCGCTTGTGTCCATGAGGCAAGCAAGCTGGAATGCAACTTACCCTCCGGTGATGGGGAGCTGGGGGTCCTACGTTGGTCATGGAGGCGATACCTACGGCTTCCTTTCTGAGTCTGGTGTGCTCTCGCAATTCAACGCCTCATTCTCAGCCACTGCCAATGAGGCCAGGCGTTTTACGCCGGTTTTTTTGATCTGTTCGGACTCAAGGGCACTGAAGCTGGATAGCCGTCTTTGGCACTTGTGCCAGAAGCAGGCTAAACCCACTACTGTAGAATGGTTATATGGACCTTGACAACTGATTGCAATTGCATTTGACGTGTCAGACTGTTGGTATGTTCAGTTGCTTATCATGTTGCCAAGCATTTGTAGTCCAGCACAGGAGTACCTGGGCCCCTTTGTGAAGAATGTGATGGTTTGCACCATGATTAGAGTGGCTGCAAAAGTGCTTTTGGACCAAGATGTGTTCTTGAAGTCGGCACCCCATTGTGTTTTTGTGCAAATGAAGTGTGCCATGCGATGCCATGCGTAATTTTTTCTGATAGTAATGCATGGTGTTCTTTGCCGAGGTGCGGAGTGCGACCCTTTCCTCAGATTGTCGTTTAGGGGTTGGGTGCTCTTGGCACCGGACCTCAATTTCGTTTCACCTTACCCGATGCTAGATGGTGCATGAGCTATCCCCATGCTAGGTTTTGACAGCATTCAGTCAAGCACAACCTTTTGGGCCTGCAATTGGGGGAGCATGCGATCATGCAAATTTCCCTCGCACAGTGCGGGGATGCCATCAGTGGTGGACAAACAGGCCAATTGGTTTGCTGTTGTTCAATGTTTGCTGGTGTTTGAGCGCACTACACCTCAGCAACTTTTCATTGGGGGCAGAAGTTTCCCGGCATGGCTCGAGCACCTTTGCGGTGGCAAGCACAATGAGTTTGGACAATCAGCAAGCAGAGTTGACACTAGTAGGATAGCATCTTAGAGCATACGTACCATAGATATTTGCCGGATCCAGAGTGCTTCAACTTGCTTACTGACCCCAATGCTGATGACACATTGTCATGCAGTGAACTGTTTGTGCCCATTCTGTGGTACCGTAGCTCTTGCGTGGATTCTGCTTATACATGCTTTATGTAATTTCAGTGTCTTGATGTTTCTTGTCATTGTTCTGCTTGGCTGTAGGCCAGAGGATGAAGAGAGATATGATATGATATGACGTTATAAGTTTGTTGTATATAAGTTGTAAGGCATTAAAAGTTGTAGGCGTAGGTCTATATAGTGTCGTTCTTTCATTGGAACTAACGGGGCCCACAATTAGGCTTGTTGTCGGGTTCGCCTTAATCATCGCTCTCGTAGGGCAAAGCGGAGGCAGTTCACTTGCACTAAACTTTAGGCACGGCGAGAGGTGTACTTCAACTTCTTTTGCTCACACAGGGAGGAAGAGGGTTCCCATGGCATGGCGCCATTTGCAGCGGTGGCTTGAGGACCTGAGGGATCATGCACAGAAGAACAAATCATGTTTTGATTGGAAAGGAATGGCTGTGGGAAATCCCTTTTGAAGATGCTGCCAAGATTTGCCAAAGACAGGCCAACCCGGTCGTGAAGCGAAGCGCCATCATTGCAGCGAAAGGCGTTGCCTGAGACTAAGGTGTGCCACAGGCCATATAGAAGAGAAAATGTTTGGCTGCCAGGCATGAACACCCCTGCACTGGTGTAGCGTGTGGAAAAGCTATTGATTATGTGACTCTTGTTTGTATTGAACTTGAATGCCCCTTCTTTTCAACACGCATCCTCAATTCTTGTCAAACATAGTTTCTAGACTGATATGTAAGATGGTTCATGTTGCTGTTTGCAGCTATCAGGATTCACAACACCCGCTGCTTTTGCTCCACCCTTCACAAGCAACGGTGGGTCAACGGGGGGGGGTTGCCCTGACGGCAAGCAAACGTTTCCAACCAGCGAACAGGGTTTTTCAAGGGGGGTTGGGGGGGCTGGGGACAGTTTCATTCGTGTTACTCGTTGCGCAAACCAAACATTGCGTTTCTGGACCGACGTTGTTACACAACGAGAGCACGTTGAAGGCCTCGCAGCTTTGTGGTTCAGCCAACATCCAGGGTTGGACTCAATGCTAGAGGCTGTGAGACTAAACAGCAAGACACTTGTCCGCCAGCTCAAATCTACAGTGAGCTGTCATGTCTCAATTGGGAAGAGGACTGAAGTCGTGCCGTAAAAGGTTCCTTGAGTTGCAGATCATCGGCCAGGTGGGGGACTGGAAAGACTCCAGGATTTGACTGAGTGGTCTTTGAATGGTCTTTACAATGTGCTCAGCTTACTGTACTGGCGCTCATTAACTCCAAGACGAGCTGTTGAGTGTCCCGAAACCAAAAAAAACCCTGATCCAAAGAACGCAACATGATCCCAATCAAAATTTCACACAACTGAGCCATCACCCCGTTGGAAAAGCATCCTCGCAGGCTCGGGAGAAATAATAACTAGGAAGTAGACAGCATCAGAAAGCACGTAGCTGACACTTGCAAATATTTGTTGCGTGGAAGTGCACTCTCTTAGCACTTTTGACGGTGCAGTTGATAGTCTGACATAAATTAACGACTGTTCTTTTAAATGTATATATATATATATAAGTTAAATAATGTCCTGCTTTGTAGCGATTGGATTGGATATTCCTGTTCAAGTATATGTCGAAAGTGCCTTCAAATGGTTTGGGCTCACATCTTCCTTTCTACGCCTACGTACTAGTATCCTGCTTCACCCAAGGCCCTCCTCTATCAAACACTGCTGTCCCCTTTGTACAATTCTCATCTTTGATAAGACTCTGACTGTATAAAATGCATCCCACCCTATCCCAAAACCCTCCTCCATCATTTAATGCTTCTCGCCTTTGTACGTTAAGACTTTGGCCCGATAAAAATAAACCAGTTGCTCCCCACCTTCTATCATACAAGGAAAATGTCCTTTTTGCCGGGCTTAACCTTGATAAGACTTGAGCCGTACAACCGTAGACACACCAATGAGCACGGTCTTCACTATTAAGGAAGATCCTCGATCTTCATAGAGGGTTGCCCTTTGTAAGGGTCGCAACTTTGGAATTTGTCTAAGAAATCTATAATATTCTGCCAAGGCTTCATCTACAATCAATAGCAACTTATCCAAAAAAAGGGAGGGTGACTGTTGAAGCAAAGTGGTAGCTGAAGTTCGAGAGCAATACAGTAGGACGCATATTAATGCAACAATAGCGTGTCTTTGGAAGGGTTGTAAAATATCGCAACGATAGCGCGCAATCAAATCAACCCTGCTGTCTTTGGCAGAGTTTCCTCTATGTCTTCTATTTGCTTCATGTGTGCTTCTCAGGGTCATAGAAAAGGCAGCTTGTGAACAAGAAAAGAAATGAAAGATGTGAAGAAGAGTCAAGCAGTAGAGAATATAGAAAGACATACGTGGAGAAGACTAGACAAACCAGTTTGACAAAGGAAGGGCCTAATCAGGGAAAGAGATGCACCAATAGAGGAGATAAATAAGCTGTGGAACATACTACATTTCAAGATTGTTGATTGGCAACAAGTATTGAAAATCCTTTGAGGACAGTATTTGGTGCCAGCGGCAACTGGAGCAGCTAAATGAGTCTGAAACAAATATCAAATCAAGAGTGCTGGGTAACACTAACTTGTACAGTGTACAGGACTCTTGACAAATGCACAGGTCAAGGTTCCTGGTGCCCCTTCAAAGCATTGAATAGGTGTTGCTTAACGCATGCAAATACCTTCCAAGAAGGCAGGGCATTTGCCGCAGCTGTTTCTTGGCTTTAACTTTTGGTCGCGCGCGTGTAAATCCTTTCTTGGACAGGCCTCTCTCCCTATGAGTTTTCATGGAAAAAGGAGAGGGTGATGCAACCATTGAAAACACGTAGTCTTGAAGAGTCAGTTCTTTACTTTAGTCGTCTTACAATGTGCCTTTGACGTAAGCACAAGGTGGGCCTTTCTTTGCCCTCATGACATTGCCTTCGCGGACACCCCAAAAGTATGACCATGACTGCTGGTACATTGTTGGGACTGTTTTTTGGTATGTATATAGAGTTGAATACTCGTGAACATGGCTCTTCATGCCTGGATATTATATATATATTCCAATGGTTGTAGCGTGGGGCTTCTAAGGGCAGGTTGACCGCTCAGCTTTGTTGAAAGTACACTCTCTACAAAGTCACGACTTGCATCATTCATTCATACACTAAGTGCTTGCTGTTTTATGCACTGCACTTCATTACTCATCTACTGTGTTTAGTCAAGGGGTTTGAGCCAACACATGTGATGTCGTGTCTCTTGCTCTCCCGGTCTATTCAGGGTCATGGTCCTCGTGTGAGGGTAGGAAGGGGGCACGCGCCGAATGTGGGCCCCCGGGCTGCGCAGGTCCGCAGTGGACCCGCATTTGTACTGTAATATTCATAGATATATATATATATATCTTGTATGTGTGTGTATAATTGTGTGGATATGATATTGTTATACATATAATATATGCATGCACATGTATATATACATATGTACACACAACAATTATGTATGTTTGTTTAGATATATTTTGACATGTGTGACATGTTTTTCGATCTCTGTAAATATATTGTTTTTATGTTTTACACGTCAACACCACTAACCAGGGGCGCAGCTTGGGAACAGCCGCTATCCCCAAGAGCATTCGCAAAAGGTATTTCTGCAAGGCAGGTTCAAGAATTACGGTTAATGCTTTGGACATACACCGGTGTAGCAACGCCAGAGCATCACCATGAGAGTAGTTAACAAAATTAAGTTTGAGCGCGAGAGCATCAATACAAGAGTCGGAGTCGGAACATAAAGTATGAACATGGTCATGCGTGTTGGTCAAGCCTTGTCTTCAGCTCCTCTAGGCCCTTTGCAGCCTGGGGAAAGCTAAGAATGCAGCAAAAAAGGGGTCCTCACGAGTAGTCTAAATGTAAAAACATTTACGTAATATATTAAAGTAGTTCTATATGCTTATATATAGCCTTTTGTAAATACATAATGTATGTGTAAATTTACACATATTAGATAGGCGTGTGTGTATATGAATATGTGTGTTGATATTGGTATAGATATATGCGTGCGTACATGTATGTACTTGTTTTTTCTTTAAGTTTGCTTTTGTTTTGCAACATTCAACGTTTATCAAAACTTTTGCAAGTACGCAACAAGTATACACTTATATATCACATACGTCAACACCCCTAATCAGGGCACCTGGCTTGGAGTCACCACGCTTTCCCCGAAACCATTCGTGAAGGATTGTTCTTCCCGGCTGATTCAAGCATGAGATGTCTCTTTACACACGGTCTCATGACACTAGACATGCACCGGTGTATCAGCACGAGAACGCCACGAGAGTAATTGCACAGAACACGGTTTTATTATGTTTTGTGCGTTTGAATTGTTTATTTCTTATTTGTTTCTCCGTCGAGCCGTTTACATCCTGTGTCCACCTTTGAGGTCGGCGCCTCTGCTGGCGCCGTGGGCTTGGCGTTGGGCCTCCGAGAGGCGAAGAGAACGCGGAGCCCAAAGAGGAAAAACGAACAGAGACCAAACAGAAAACGCAAAAAAGACAGAAAGTAAACAATGTGCATAGACGTAACATAATCATTACATAAATACATTTTTGTGTCATCAATTGTGCGTGTTTTTTGCATTTTGGTGGCCATGTGGCAAGATATATCAGCTGAGGCTGCAATACGAAACCCCTGTTGATGTGTGGAGGGAGGCCTCTTTGGATGTGCTTGCCTGAGAATTGTTGAAAGGATTGACAGCAAGAGGACTCACATCCAGTGAACACACCCTAACTGAAAGCAGTCTCACGACATCTCTTGATGCGTGCAGTGCCGTCCATTTTAGGCACAAGAAGGTGATATATCATTCATGACGTGGCCAGTAGGACAGGAAATTGCCGGAGAACCCTGAACCAGAAACTAGGTAGTAGGCAGCAGCAGATACTTAATCGCTTGCAACTTCCCAAAAGCAAGTAGACTCAAGTAGTTCACAGGCGCGTAAGCGAAGATAACGAGATATAATCGAGTCAAGCGCTCTTCACAAACGCTCGGAGCAGTGTCTAGGACGCCAAGGCCGGCTCCATGGCGCCGTTGAAGTCGAAGGCGAAGCATGAGGTACCTTGGTCGGACCGGCACAGGCCCCGACACTTGGGCGAAGTGGTCGGTAACACAGAGCAGATTCGCAAATTGGCCGAATGGCTCAGGGATTGGGATGATGTGGTTCTCAAAGGAAAGAAGAAAGAGCTGCCACCCCCACCCTCGGATACGATGAAAAAGTTCCAGCCTCCACCAGAGAACCTGAATGCTCGGGCAGTTTTGGTGAGTGGTCCTCCTGGAATCGGCAAGACGACAACTTGCACACTGGTAGCCAAGACTTCAAAAAGGAATGTCATGGAATTCAACGCTTCGGATGCTCGCAACAAGTCCATCATCGATAGCATGACAAACTCGCTGGCCGGCAACAAGACCTTGAGCTTTGGTAGCTCAAGCAGTTTGCGCAAAAGCGTGATTATCATGGATGAGTGTGATGGAATGACAGGTGGTGACAAAGGCGGAGTGAAAGCTCTCATCAACTTGATACAGGTCACAAAGAACCCGGTGATTTGTATTTGCAACGACCGATCAGACCAGCAGGTCCGGGAACTTGCCAACTACTGTTTGGACTTGAGATTCAAGAGGCCTGACAATGCCACGGTTGCAAAGCGGATCAAGAGCATCATGCAAACCGAGGGTAGGAAGGTTGAGATCGCAGCTGTCGAAGCCATTGTGGAAGCTTGTGGCCAAGACCTTCGTCAGGTCATCAACCATTTGCAATTCTTTGGCTCCATGACAGGTGGAAATCAGAAAGACACACAAGTGATGGTGAGCACCTGGGATGCATGCTCCCGGCTGCTCTCCTACCACCGGAACGGACTTTCAATCGATCAGCGCCTCGACCTGCATTTCGTGGACGCAGAGTTCTTGCCCATTATGGTGCAGGAGAGGAGCAAAAGCAATGGTCGAATCACAGATTGAATCAGCCAAGTTCCCGAAGTGTGTCAAATCCTGAAGCCAGGTGGATAAACTTCACACCCAGGTCTTTTCATACAGTTGCGAGATGCTGTCGGAATCAATTCGCACAAACACAAGACTACACGGGGGCGAATTGCTGTAGCTGGGCTAATTTTGCCAATTTTGTCCAGCATCGCTGGACACTTGGAGAACTATTGCATTCATGATCTGAAAAGCTAGACTCGACCCTATGCTTCCATAGACTATGCTTGGTATAGTTGTTCGCTGCTAGCCTATACCAGGGTTTGCCAGACTATGCTGGGGCATTTCTTGGTGCAGAATTTAGGGTGTTCCCCGTATCGTCCTTCGAGGTTTCCCAGTATAGTATACAGGCTTCCTCACTGTCCCAGGTTTGGGTCTCCGCAGTCAACCCATGTATGAGGTGCAGTCAACCTTCTTCTCTCAAGAACCAAGGCAACTGGCATACTAGGAGCAATGGCCTCCGACCTAAAATTCATGGCCTCCTTCCCTATTGTTGGTTTATTTGTGCTTTGTGGATTTTGTTGGTATCGTTCGGTTTGCAGTGTCATTCTAAAACAGACACGCACACACACACACACTGCAAGATATGTCGACGTCAAACATATCTTGAACTGAACTCCTTTGAAGCCAAAACAATTACTGTATATATATATATATTTAGATTTTTACATTGTTATACAATTATATATAGTTTTAGTGCAAATAATATGGATTGTCCAGTCCATGTTTCAGTACGTCCATTCCACGTCCCGGTATGTCGTTCCACGTGCCTGGTATGGTCGTTCCACGGTTTGTCCACAGCTTGTCCACATTTTGTAACAAATGTGGCAGACTGCTCTATGGCAAAACACAGCACATGCACCCCAAAAGTATTACTGTGGCTGGCCGTTTTGCCTATATGAGCAGCTGAATGAAGAAGACTTTTGTCGCTCGCAAGCCGAGTTATCAAAATTGGAAGTCTCTTTGCTACCTGGCCTCGAAACCTCCACTGAATATTGTACGTATGAACAAACATTGGAAGAATTGTCCATGGAATGGGCCCATTTCCCGGTATAGGCTTTCATGTTTTCTCGGCATAGCTTTTCATATCGTCCTACTGTAGGCGACAAGAAACAACAAAAATCTTTGTACAGTCGACCAAACCCCCTTATAATAGTCGCTCGTTCCTGGTATAGGCTAGGCTATACTGGGTATTGTCGAGGAATCACCGGGTAGATACACGCAGCATTTGCAAGTTCAATCCAGCATGATTCTTTAATCAAAGATCTTTAAAGTCTCTTCAGGTTGCCTACACTCAAGAGCGTACACTCAAGAGAGCTTCGGTACAAAGAGTTTTGGTATCAGCGCATCGAAATTGCATTAAGCTGTACTAGCTACAGATATGTTTATCTAATTGGTCCTAATATGTTTCTCGAACCTCGACAGGAGAACTACCTTCGACCCTCGGAGAAGCGAATTGCCAATGCCGATGGTGCCTTGGACCGTGCAGCACAAGCATCATCTTTGATTGCAACCGCTGATGCTATGTCCGGCAACTTTGAACTTGGAGGAACAGCGGCATTCTTGGGAACAGTTTACCCATCAGCATTGATGGCCAGTAGGGACCAAGCCTTTCCCAAGCCTGCTTTTCCAGCATGGTTGCAAAAACGGAGCACGTTTTCCAAGAATGAGCGCATCCTTCAAGAAGTAAGTGCCAAGATCAGACATCACAGTACATGTGGGAGTCGTGAGTTTGTCACCGGCAACTTCCATGATGTTCTTTATCGGAGATTGGTGCAAGTATTGCAGAAGGGCTTAACCAAAGAGTGTGCAGATGCGCTTCATTGCTATGGCCTCACGCGGGAATTCTTCACAGATCAGATGCCAGCCTTGAGACAACCACTGCAGCTGGAAGACACCTACAAGAAGATTGACACACAGATCAGGACAAGATTGCTGCAAGAAGTTCAAGCACTCTCTCTCCAGCCTGTTATGCCCAAGAGGCGCAAGAAGGGTGATGAGGCTGGCTCCAAGAGACGCAGCTTTGGATCGACGCAAGCTGATTCCCCGATGGAAGAAGGTGGGGCTGAAGATGGAGACGATGAAATTCCAGGCTTGTTCAAGAAGAAAGTAGCTAAGCCCGTGAAGAAGAATGCGGTGAAGCCTGCCAAGGAAAAAGACCTCAGCAAGTGTTCCCTCAGGAGCTGGAAGGAAAGCAAGACCGTGACAGCTTCACAGATTGAGAGCGCGCCAATGCTGGTGATAAAGTACATCGAGGGCCACACCAACTCCGTGCGCCGCAAGATCCACATGAGAGATTTCTTGGGTGCATGGACCATGTTCTGATGCGTTGGGCAGGTCATTGGTTCCTCTTCTGTGTGTGTGCGTGTTCTTTGATGTTCTTTGTGATTGCTACCATTTGGATTCACTTGGATATGGGGATCCATCATGATCTTGAGATGTGTTTGGTGCTTGTTTTACCTCAAAGATCCTTGGTCCGCATGTAGGGTTGCAGCTCGGCTTGGGGGAAGCCGCCTGCAAGAATGCCTCTAGCATTCTCACAAGCTGACAGGCTGAAAGCCGGAAAAGGAAGACTTCTTCATTGTCATTGATTAGAGTATGTGGCTTCGTGTTGTTCTTCAATCACTCTGACAATATGAGACCGCAAATCTGCTCTTTACCGATTGCAGAAGAACATGTGTGTAGTTCAATACCGCAACCAAGGTCAGAAGCTCGGGGGCACAGTGCTCAGAAGCTTTTGATTCACTTTGTTTGGTATTGGATGGTGGCTTAAGTCAGCACTGCGAAAGGAGATTTCGCGCTTAGGCATCAAGTTCTGCAGCTTCGGCTTTGGCATCTGTTCGCAGTGTATGTGTGGCCTGGTAGCTCTGGGTTCCGGAAACCCGTTTGTGTGTTTTTTCAATTGCCATTCTGTAGAATTGTAAAGGCTAAGGCTGGGCCCTGAACCAAGGCACGAAACCAAATCCAGGAAGAAGACTTTTGGGCTGCAGCCAAAAGGTGCACAAAGCCGTTTTCGGAGCAAAGTGCGGAGCGTACTGATGCATCCAAGAGAAGCCTGCGAGGCTAAGACCTGTGGAGCAGCAGCTGGAGGAACTTCATGTGACTTGGCTTTTTTGTTTGGCCATTTGGTGCTTTGCTAGAGATTGCCTTTTCGTGTGGCAATATCATGATCACCGTCACTGGCATCCAGATGGCATAATTGAAGCAAAACCTCTCCACCCTGGAGAAACGCAAACAAACTGACCGATGCGCCCCTGGATTGTTGGAGCCCCCGTCTCCTTTTTTTACCTCCTTGTTCAACTACAATCAAGACTCAAGACACAAAAGCCACGGAACAGCGCCCTTTTAACATTCCTAATCCCTTTTCCCAATGTGGAAATGTCTCCCAAAAGAACGCTCCAGGTGGCCTGTTCTTGTTAAATTGTCAGAGGATCCGGAGCTTTGGGCCATTCTTTGATTCCAATCCCATACCTGAAAAACTCGTACGATACTTCCACCTAAAGATCAGCACAAGCAGGCTTAAGAGGTCTACCGAATAAAGACAACTTGCTCCAACATAAAGAGAAATGAAAGCAACAAAATTAACATTTAAAGTAAAGCTGCATCTAGCGAGGTTTGCCAACAAAGAACAAATAAATAAAGAAAGAAAGAGTGCCCGCCTTCCAAGTTCTTAGCTCCGTACATGTGAATTGGATAATTTCATTCAGTGATTGATGCATGCGTTTGGGGAGAGATGAGTTTCGATTCTATTGGTTTATACGGTGGTATATGACTGTTGCTAAAGGACGTGACATATTTTTTGCAGGCTTTGGGATTGCCGAAGGACAAGCTCCATGCCAGAGAGGATGAATTGGCAGCAAAGTGGAAGGAGCCTTTACTGTCAGTTGCCACATGCAGTGGACATACATGATAATGTTTTGAAGAAGGATCAGGGCTGTTGGCAGCATTTCTGCAACTCTTGATGAATGGCTCGGCGTATGTAAAAGCTTGCCGATACCCTAGCAGGAGAAAGGCTACTTTGACCCCAAGCGTCTTGCGATCGATCGAGCTACTCTCTTCGGTCAAGACTTCAGCCCTAAACTTTCGACTTGGTCCAGACTACCCATGACCCCAGGGAACTCAGTGCCAAGGTCGTCGACTGACCAGTGATGCACAAGGAGTTGACATTGGATTGCTGGTTCCACCATATTTGCCACTCCATGGAAAGACTACAGTGACTACAGGCCATGCTTTCGTCACTTGTTTTTTTCTAGAAGGCCTGCATGAATTGTGCAAGACACAGTATCATCAGTTTTCTACTGACATCACTTTTGGGAGGCTCTGTCGATGCTCCTGCTACATCACCAGTGAGTTGGAGCCAGGACATGCTGCAGCAAAGTGAGAAGGCCATGCCACGGTCGACACCCCGGATCCAGTTGATAAACTATAACATGAATCTAGCATGTTTGACTTGCTGTGTAGTTGTTTCTATTTACTTGTTTTTGTGCCAATTTACGGGCAACCCCAGAGCCAGACATGACTACAGTTTGTAAAGTTGGAGCAGTCGTGAAACATAGAATCTTAGACGAAACCTGGAAAAACAATGTATAGTACCCCCTGCAGATTAACATGGGCTCCCAAAACCATGGTCTTCCATGGGTGAATTGTCAGGGTCCATGTTAGTCTGCGGGAGTGTATATTATATATATATATTAAACGATGTTAGACCTGCCTCCAGCGATAGCCATGTCAATGCAGTTCCTGACCTGTGCAGCTGGGTTGAAAGTGGGCTGGGCCCTAACAAGGGACCCTACTGAATCACTGAATCATGTCCTTCTCGTTTCTCGGTGGTTTTGGCAGATATCCTACTTTGTGTTTGAGATGTTGAAGTCCGTTTTGTTTAATCCTTTGCTAGGATTGGATGTGAGACATTTGGGTGCAATGGCTGCATTATCAGTTGCTGTGACAGGCTTTGGACACATGGGGCTTCGTGCTACTGCGTGGCTTATTGACTCCGGAGGTGAAGATCTCAGTTTAGCGTATCAGATGCTCTCCTTGACAAATATTGAACCTGTCAAGCCAAACCACATTTGCAGTGATGCACTTTGCTTAGGGGTTCAGGGTACTCTCTTGCGATTGAACCTCAGGACGTGCAGTCGCTTCGCTGTGCGTTGGGCCTCGATTGCAAAGACAAGAGGGCTCCGCCACGCCGGGCAGCTGAAGTTGGCCTTTGGCAGCGCCTTGGCCTTTTGAAGGTTGGAGGCCATCGCTAATAGGTTTGAGGCTCCATTGCTAGTACAGTAATTAGGTTGGAGGATGCTCGAGTCTAGGAGAGCCAAGCGCCGCAATTGCCAGCAGCAGGCAACAGCAAGATCCGAACGTCTCCATGGGTCGCTACACCTATGGCCGGCTTCATCTCCTGCTTCGAGGCCGCCAGAATCTTGGGTCAGTTTCTCCTGCACAATCCTGCCCAGCTGTTTTTGCTGCCAAGACCCCTAGACATATTGAAAGAAGAACTAGAGTCCATAGAAACCCTCAACCCTCCAAAGCCTATCGGGATGGCTTGGGTGGTGGTCAGATCAGAGATGCCTCGGGGCATATATGTGCCTACCAAGTCAAAGGTCCTACTCGTACACGGAAGCTACATAGGCTTTGCTCACTTGCTGAGACGGGGGATTGCGGGATTCCGGGGCATGTTCGTACAGGTATAAAAATACAATCCATATAATATCACGTCCGTGGTTTCTTGTTTTCTACGTGCTACGTGCTGCGGCCATACAATTATCGCTGGCCACACGAGGGGGATCTATTCGTGTTGATTGTGATTTGCTTGAGTCGCCTTGTCGCCTCAACATGTGGTTGAGAAATGCAGCACTCCAACAGACATGCTAGGCTGCTAGACAATAGCGCACTTGCAGGATCACCTCAGTACGAGATGGACGCCGTGTCACCTCATGCTTCAGTGGCACCCTTGGTTCACAAGCACTTTGAGATTCAGGACACGTAGCAATGCTACAGATGTTACGCCTCAAAGAAACACGACGGCGTTCTTCGTGGGACTTCGTGGACGCGACACTGGCAAATGCATTATGTCCTTGCGTTTCAATCAGTTTGGCTGGTTGTGCTCGTGTTTGTTGATATGTCTGAAGGACATGGCTGGTAACCCCATCTTCCTGTCAGAAGCACAGCTCGTCATTGCAGATCCGTGTGCCGAAACTCAACAATGGCATATTGAGTCTGCTACTGGCAAAGGACATGCTTGTCGCGAAATTGAGTTGATCTTCTGAACTCGTACATTTTCTGGGTTTGGCCTTTCGCCGCTTTTGTGGCCTTCAGAGGACTCTCCATTTTTATTCCCTTGGGAAACGTTGCGCTGGACCGGGGGCTGCAAGAGCTGTTGCCTGGCACGCATGTTCTTCATGAGGCTTGGACTGAAGTTTTTGCGGGTGGATTTGTGGCAACTGTGAACAGTGAAGGCTCATGGTTCTGACAATGCATACATATGTGTGAGTACATGTTGGGTCTGTCCTATTACCTGTAACAGTAGACAATTATTGCTATTTTTGAACAAGGCCTTTAGTAACCATCGTCATCCACTGTTACAGGTAATAGGATAGACCCAAAGTACATGTGTGTAATTCTGTACATAGGCATCATTATACTATACGTTTGCAACATTTTGCAACAAGGCTGGTCTAACAATACTGAATATATACTGTGTATATAACGGAGCACCTGTTAAACATCACTACCGCTACCCAAATTTAGAAACGACTCATGTCAGAGACCCCCCAAATATATATATATATACATATAGTTAAGTTTGTCTTTATATTATATACCGCCTTCTTAAACTACTGTGTGTTTATTTTTCAGAATGGGTGCTCCTGGGAGATGGTTTTCATGCAAAAAATGATGCAAAAACACTGTGTTTTACAGTGATTTCTTGCAAAATCCTCTCCAAAATTGAGGTTTTGAGCTATTTGTTGATCAATTTTGTGAGATCCAAGCCTATCCCAGTTTAGAGGGAATACCAAAAAAAACAATAAACCAAAAAACCCAAAAAAAACAATGCTTGAGACAAAATGCAGCCAACATAATAGTGCCCCCATTTTGTCTCAAACATTGTTTTTTCTTTTTTTGGTTTATATATTGTTTTTTTGTTTTTTTTGGTATTCTCTCTAAACTGGGATAGGCTTGGATCTCACAAAATTGATCAAAAAATAGCTCAAAACCTCAATTTTGGAGAGGTTTTAGCAAAAATACACTGTTAAAACACAGTGTTATTGCTTCATTTAAGTTTACCGGTGGAATTTGATTTTAAATTGGATTTCAATTGATTTTGGTATTGGACTTTACTTAAAACGCGTTCAGAATTATTGGTGGAAGTTGATTTATCATTAGCTGTCTATTAAAAATGTGTTTAAGATTAATTGTAGATTTTTTCAACAAGTTTCATGTATATCATGTTCAAAATCATTGGGGAAATTGATTTTTATATTAGATTTCAATTACAATTTCTTCAAGATTAATTATAGAAAAATGAATGTGTAATTCAACTGCGGTTAAATTCCTTTTCAAAATCATTGTGGCAATTGATTTTGAATTAGATTTCAATTAAAATCCTATTATATATATTTCATTGTAGAAATTAGTCATTACTTAAATGTCAATTAAAGTCCTTTTCAAAATCATTGTGGAAATTGCTTGTTGTTTAGATTTTAGCTTAATTTCGTTTCAACATAATTTGATTGAACTGCTTGTGTATTGGATATCAATCAAGACCCTTTTAGAATTGATTGTGGAAATTAATTGCATCACAATTCAAGTTAGTTAAGCATCACAATTTCCACAATTAATCTTAAATCGATTTTAAACACAATCTGATATTAAATCAAAGCCACCACTAACTTTGAAAAGGACTTTAACTAAAATCTAATTGTAAGAACTAGTTTCCACAATGAGTTTTAAAGAGAACTTGGAAAGGATTTTTATTGCAATCTAATATCTACTAAATAGCAATTTCCACAATCAATGTTAAAAGGATCTTCATTGAAATATTGTAATTTAAGTTTACCTAATTCTATTTTACTTCTAGTTTAGTTAGTTTAAGAAAACATGCTACAACACCCTATATTTTACAGTGTTTTTTTGCCCTAGGAGTGCTGGGAATAAGACAAAAACTATGTTTTTGAGTAGATAGTATTTGTTTAAAGTAATCCCTTGGAATAATCATTGCTATATTAAAACTGCTTTATGTACACGCTTCTAATTCAAAAGGTTCCCTCTAGATCTGATCACTTCTGTGAAAAAAGGATAAAGCTTGCATTTCAAAAGCTTTCCTCTGGATCTCTGGAAATTGGCATGGTATTTTAAAAAAGCTATAAGTATGTATGTAAGTGTTTCTTTCAAAAGCTTTCCTTCAATGAAAATACAAAAATCTAGGAAATCTACTTTCCCAGAGATTGAGAGGAAAGCTATTGAATCTAGAGATGTATAGTATTATATATATATATATCTTCATTCGCTCATGATGCTACATTCATTGTGGGCAGAGAGAGATTTACCTGATAATATTTATCATTGGTGTTGCACATTGATAGTGGGCAGACGAAGAGCTGTTATTTGTTGTCATTGACATTGGACATGGAGACTGGGCACAGACAGATCATAAAAATTGCTTTTCGCCTAGTTCTCAGAGCAGTTATTGAAATTTTGCACGGTATTTACAGTGTTTTCTAAGGGTTTTGAGCTAGTGTGTGCTCTCCCAAGCACACCCACCCTCTTATTTTTAGGGGGGGCGGAGGGCACCCACCCACTAGAATAACCACCAATCGTGCCCCTCACTAGCGACGCCACATTTACCATACACACGTGTGCGCCCTTCCCCAATGGCACACAGCCACCCAAATACACTTTCTACCGAGGCCGCGCAAAACCGCACGGCATAGCGACATCACCTGTTGACATCTTTACATTAGTTGCTTTAGTTTGATGAAAAGTTTGCAAGCCAAGAATATCGAAGAATCACTGTTTGAAAGGGTTTTGCAAATGGAAAAGGAGGCCCTTCGATTTGGGGGTCCTTTGTCATTTTTTGGAACGAATTTAGTGAAAATTTCTTATATAACGCTTTCCTGGGTGACTTTTCGGTTTTGAAGCTCTTCCCGAGTTTACATATTTGCGACACCTACCACAAACAACTAGCGCAAACATGTCAGCACGGATGATGCATGCGCCCAAGCCGAAGAATCTAATCGCCCGTGGGTGTTGGTGGTAAAAGCTGAGGATCCTCGCCATGGACTCCGCGACCGGTGGCGGCGATGTCTTCGAAGCCTTTGTGCGACGCATGGTGGTGTCTTAGCGATGACCGACAACGTTTGGTCTGCTGGAGATGCCCTGGTGCTGGATTCCGGTACCTTGCATAGAGGCCACGCACGAAGCTCTGAAGCTACTTCACCTGTTGCCGAAAGAAACAAGTCTCTGATCCACTTAAGACAGAAGTGCGTGCAGTGCTTGCAAGGCTTGGCCAACGACAGCTTGGGGGCTCCAGTCCCAGTTCTTGTTTTGCGCTATGACCCGAAGGATCGGCCGGCACCAGGCAAGATTCCACTGGTGAAACATGTTGAAACCAAATGATGCACTGTGAAACTCATGCTTCATGACATCGATATACATGTCCTGAAGGCTGTCGACGGTCTTGGCTGCTTACAATGACGCGGATGGGCCAATGTTTATCCAATGTGTTCCATCTCTACTCGTGGATGTGAATGCAAAATGTGCGTCACGACTGCTGCTGGGCGAATTGGTGCAAATCCAAATCCATAGAGATGGGGCCCGCACTGTCACTGTTTCTGTTTTTAAATGTACTGGTGCCAGTTGGTTTGGGTGCTTCAGTCAGTTTTCTTTGGGATTTTGTGGACGTGCACTGCAGCCGTAGCTGGCTCTATGAAACGGAGTCCTTCCTGGACTTGGGGAGCATGAACCAATCCAGCAAGGCCAGTTGTGCATTGGAGGTTGCCATTTCCATGACACTTGTTTTGGTTCAGGAGACGCCGCAGTACCAAACGCTGAAGCGAATCCAAAAGAAATTCCTAGTCCGCGCAAACGTCCAAAGCTCAGTCTGCTTGATGTTGTTTCACTTGAAGCTGAAGCATGCTCGTCAAGCTATTGACCCAAGCAGTTTGAACGCCACCTGTATAGTAAGGAATCCTTGACGAAGATTATTCCCGGAACTGGCGTTCGCCCTGCCAGTCAGATCAGGCGAGCGGCACACAGCGGGCACAGCTTGAAAGAAGCATGTTTGGAATGTTTGATTCGGGGACTCAATTTCCTGTTCACTAATTTACAGTGTACTGCATAAGTGAGTGGAGGTAAGGAGAAGTTGGCAATCATGGACAGAGATTCATTCAACACGAATCACTGTTTTACTCCAGACGCCTCGAAAAGCAGCTCAAGCCCTTTGCCTCAGAGGTCCTGTGAGGTTTGCAGCCCACATTCAAAACACGCATGCTTTTGAGTCAGGCATCATGGGTAATCGTTGCTAAGGGAGAAGCGAGAAGAGTTGGGAAAGCTGGCAGAGCAGGAGCTGCAAGGCACTTAGGTATGCCATTCCGCAAGGAAATGATGCATACCGGTTTTTTCTACACATTTCTACACTACTATATGGACTATACGCGTTGCGTCAATACGTGTCAATCAAGTTTGAACAAATGTTTGAGGTTGAGCCACATGGCCATGGCTGGGGCCAGGCAGTGGTCCTTCTTCTTTGCACCAGCGAGGGCAAAGGTAGCGAGAAAGCCTTCGCCACAGGAAAAAGGCGGCTGAACAGCAAGAGGTGGCCAACAAGCGGGCGTGGGTCACAGTGACTTTGCTTGTTGCCCTTTCTTGTAGATTCTGTGAGAGGGGCGTGCCAGACTGGGCTGCAAAGGCAAAGATGGCAGAAGAGATAAAAGAGATGGAAAGGCAACTGCGGCACACATTTGATAAAAGTTGTGGACATGCTGACATACTTTTTTGAGCACCGGACAGCACAATGATTTTGTAGTAGAGTGATGCAAGTTTGATCAAATTTGTAGAACTGTTTGAGGCAGCTGAATGAATTGGAATTGCGGTGAGCAACCGACCATCGCAGGGCTTCAGCCAATTACTTATGTGGCACATCATGACACATTTGCATCCATCCTCCTCCTTGAGATCCTTAGATTGCCTTACCTTAGATCTCAAACTGCAGGTGAGAATCGGTGAGAACTGGTTATTGGCCTTGACCTTCTGCAAGACTGCATCTTGGTCATGCGGCCTTTTGTGCAACCTGGAGATTTTGGGGTGTGAGGGTGCCCCACTCTTCCCACAGACGTGGTGCAGATTGCAGTAATCTCCAGCACAGCGTGATGCAACTTGCCAGAAGGCATTGCCAAAAGCATCCATCGGGTTTGCTTCCATTTGTGTAGAAGGAGATTGCACTTTAGGTGCAGGTTGCATGTGAAAAACACTTGCTGCTTGCGTGCCGTCAAAATTTTATGCATGGTGAGCTGGTGATCCTGATTGATCCTTGCATGCGACAAAGCATGAATAAATACAGCCAGTCACAAAGCCTGCAATGTGGTGTGCTTGATTCGCAGCGACATGCAACTTTCTGATGCGCTTGGACAGCGCCAGCATGCATTGAGCATTTGCTGGTGCATTGTTTCACTGCCTGACTCGTGTCATTGGATGTCCATAGACTTGGAGCGCAATGTGCGGAGATGAGGCCAAAACAGCACACAAGTACAGTATATTCATTGATTCATGATAGTATGTTCCCGTCCACAGATTTAAGTGTTGTGTGTTTGTTCCCAGAAGAAGGAAGGAAACAGGTTGCTTCGCGATGTTTCGCATGTTTTAGAATTTGGGCTGCATGGTGATAAGACTAAAACAATACCCTTTTCCATATGGCAAGCTAGCCTGTTTTTCAATGTCCCCTTGCAGAATCTCCGAGAGTCAGATTATCAGATCATGTTTTGAGAATGGATCTCGGGGGGGGGGCAGGGCGGTCGTCAAAAACAATTGTTTGGCATTGAAAGAGGTAGCCTGGAACCGATGTCCAGCTGCAAACATGAAACAACAAGAGTTGGGACAAACAATATGTGAGAAGAATGATGAGAAGAGAAAACCGGCACACGTTTCTAGATGCAAGTTGGATTGAGCCGAAAAGGCCAAAGCGGTACAATGTCCATGCGGCAGACCAGTCTTGAATTTTCAACATAATTTGTTTTCGGCGTCGATTTGGTTAAGACATTGATACTTTCTTGGATATTGGCGAAACATGAGAAGGATATCACAGTCTTCAGAAGACGGACACCCTGCAAAACACATGTTTGGCATGATGCAGGTTTTCGTTGGGGGAAATAAGATGAGACAACGCTAAAACAGTACGCGTTCCATACTAACTATGTGTTTCTTTTTTCGTGTGTTTTTTCTGCTGAGTTAAGGGATATTGACTTTGGGGGAGGGGGGGCAGGGCGGTCGTCAAATAATTACAACATTGTGGGTTCCCAAAGTGGAATCCATGTTTGAAAATATATTTTCGGATACTATGAAAAGCATGGTACAGTACAATGATGTACAATGCGAATAGCAAACTGCTGTTCTCAGAATAATAAACTGGAACACATGTTTGGCATGGTGTTCCTTGATGCAAGTTGGATTCAGCCGAGAAGGCTAGAACAGTACAATGTCCATGCGGCAGACTAGCCTTCTCTTCATGCCCCCTTTTTTGCAGAGTTAAGTTTTGTTCTGAGAACTGATTTTGGAGGGACAAGGCAGTCGTCAAATACAAACATAGTTATATTTTGTACTTTAATGTTGGATCCTGATTAGTAAAAGGGATCCCCCCTCCAACAAGTGGGAGGTCCTCTACAATAAACTACCACCGAAACAAGTCTGGGTTCCTCGGAGGATTCCTTTTGTAATTGATTGTAGTATTAATGTTCCTTCTTCAGGTTCTTTGTAATTAGATATTCTCAGCAATCCTTTCATACTACTAAGAAGGGGACAAAGAAGGTTCTCAGGTTCTTTGCGGCTTTGAAGAAGAACTGGAGAAACCTATACTTATCAATACTCTCAGCAAGCCAGCCATTGACTTAGTATTCACAGATCTCTTAATGATTTTTCTGATAACAAAAAAATAGGATCCAAAAAAAGTTTAGCATGATAGAGGACCCTTAAAACAAACATGGTGTCCAGAATTACTTCGGAAAATTTAGCATTATAGCGGACCCTATTACTAATCGGGATCCAACATTAATTGAAGTGGACTTGCCTTCTTTTCTATTACACGTTTTTGCAGTTGATTTTGGGGAGTTGGTCAGGGTGGTCGTCAATTGATTTCCGGTTTTCGGAATGAAATCAAATGGTCGGGTTGGTTTGACAAAATGTTTGCACATTTTCTCGGATGTGAAAGTTGAGATGGGCTTTATAAAATATGAGAAGAGACATCACAATGCGAAGAGCAGAACACCGTTTTTTTGAATTTAAGTGAAGATGTGTTTGACTTCATTGGTGTGCTTACATCTTGGCTCAGTACATATTTCAACCCAAGACTGCCTAACAAGCAGGACAGGGAACTCCAACACCGTTGATTCCATTGGTGTTTAGCAGTTGAGACTTGCGAGGAAAGTCTATCGAAGACCTTGTTCGTCTTCACTGCAGCTTGGCACTAGAGCTTTCAGGCTGATAGCGTGACTATTTGCGTGACGATCCGACGAGCTTTGAAGCACTTTGTCATTTCTTTGTTGATTTACTTGTTGACAAAGTGTTCTAGCTAACGCTTTGTTGTTCAACTGCTTCTTTTGTCTTTAATTTTTGTTGATTTCTTGCCGAATTTGTTTGAGTTTGAGGTTATTTGCTGCAGACTTGGCAAATGTCACATGGCGGTTGGGCACTTTGAGGCAAAGTCATGTGAATTCAGCAACGGCTCTTTTGCTTTCACAGCTTGCTTTAATTGTATATATGGAACAGATCGTGTCAATCACCATCATTGAGCCGTTTAGGCTCAACCCTGGCAGAACATGAGGACTCTTGAAGGGTACATGTCAAAACAGTTGTTACAATCAAATTGAACATGAAGGCATAGCAGTTGGGTTTGCGTGCCTCCACGTCTTCACTATGGTTGAAAAGACGTGCATCTCATGTTGAATGAATCAGACTTCAGTTTTCTCCAAGCCTTGTGGCGATACCTTAATTAGCTCTTTGGGGTGCATGGGCACTTCAATGCCCGGAAAGGCGGGTGGATGCAGCCACGTTCGATGCGGACATGAGTGGGGGCTCTTTTTTGGTGCTGAGCAACATGATCAGGCTGAAGCTGAGCAATTGCTGGCATCAATCCGGAGGTGAGGAACTTGAAGCTTGAAGGATTGTCACTGTCGTCAGGGGACTCACAGTAACTTCCCTGAAAAGTTTCACAGGAACATCTAGGAATCGTCTCCTGCATTCCTTGCATTTAGTAATTTAGTAGCTACTTTCTAGTCTACTTCTTACTATTGACTACCCCTCCTGTGAGAGGCCCACACTTCAACAAAAACCAACGACCTACACCATCGCATTTACAATGACGTCGCCTCGCACGTGTTTTGTAGGTTGCAAATGTGCTCCGAGCTGGTGAAGAATTCACTGAAAGAGACTCTTTTGCATTGATGGCATGTTGCATAGCTATCCGCGACTAAACCATGGTTCAAACGATGTTGAGCCGTTAGTGTGAATTTAGAACTGAAAGTGCATGTGACAGCGTTTGCTGTTCAAGATTAACACAAGACAAGACATTGAACATGTTTACAGTAGGCGCACAATGGATTGCTCAAGTTGACACCACTGTTGTCGGCGTTGAAGG